CCTACCAACAGTCAAAAACAAAATAAATTTGCTATCATGTAAAACAATCTTCACATTTTAGAAGCTGGAACCACTAAATGTTGTAAGAACGGACTAAACTACTAGGGGTCAAGTGTCTTGCTCAGGGACACATTGGTGGATGTGCCACAGTGGGAATCGAACCCGGGTCTCTAACAACAGATAATATTTGCAGAGTCACATTTGTCAGATCACCAAACATGCAGCACGTTGACTACAACCGTTCCATATCAGCCTTTCACCAAACTTTAGATTGATAAAACCATTTACAGCTCCAAAAACAATAAGAACAAAAGCCTAATTCACGTATTCTGTAGCTTGTGCCACATAACTCAAGCGTTTTCAATCTAACAGATGCACCTCAGATCCAGGAGTCAAATATTTACCTCATACATAATTTTTAAATTAAATATTTTAATTCAATATTATATTTTATTGTAGTATGGTATACATTTCTCTTTTATAATGCCGTGGTTGAATGTCTGGTGATGTTTAGCAAACATTTAATGAATATTTTGGAGCCGTTACATCATGTTTTTTTCTGAAATGTGTAACGCTTTAAAAATGAAGACTTTGGTTAGTACATGACTTATTATGTTCGGAGTTTGTCTTTATTGTTTTAGTGGACTGAAGTCTGAGAGTCTCTCACCTTTCCCACCAACATGAGCGTCGTTTGGACCGGCCCCTCTCCACAGTACTGCAGCTTGATCACTTTGGCCTGGTGACGAGGTACACCTGTATGTAGGAGGAAACCATGAATATTATGTGTCCAAACGTATTTTTAAAAAAAACAACATTTAAACACTTATTAAGTCATAAAAACAAAATGTTCTCCTACTGTTGGCACAGCGGTTGACTGCAGCTAGACAGGGGTACTCTTTCTCCAGAACCTTCAGGTCGCTCACCACTTCGACCTAGGAGGTTAACAAACACACGTTCTTTTGTTTGGGGCCATTGAAGAGCCAAACAACTGTCCTTAACTGTGACTGATATTGTTTGTAAACATTTTCCAGATTCTTAGATGACAGATCACTATCTCCTAACAATCACAATAAATAAGACCATCATGCTATGCTGTTTGCACACGTGGTATTAATATTGCTCTCTACCTGCACAGGGCTGTCCTTGAAGAGCTCCTGGACGTAATCAGCCACACGGGGAGAAGCCATACGTTCAGGGTCCGAGCCTCCAATGTCACGACATGCCAGTCTGAGGACGGGAAACAGGACGAGGGATGGTGAACAAATGAACACCACAACCTGAGGAAATCTTAACAGGGAATGACGTGAAGAAGTTGACCCACCTCCCGCTCTCCAGAGCATTGGCTAGCTCCACCAGTCTCTTTCCCTCCGCCTCCTGCGCTGCCCACAGACCCAGAACACACACCTTGAAGTCGGTGGGCTTTAGGTTCACCTCCCGCACTTCCAGGGGCTTTTAAGGAGGGAGGCATATACATTTTCTTTTAAAAGTTTGCATCTAAATCTGGATACACAGAGATACAGCTAAGACAGACTAGAGTTCACACAAGGTATTACAAGGCCGATCTTCCACACCACACGCCACATCTATTAGCTAAGCAGTACTTCACACTAAACTTTAGTTAGTGGAGTTTCCTTTTAAAACTGTCCACTTGCAGTTGGAGCATCCAGGACACGCTGAGTGTGAAAAGAGTGTCTTCCCTCACCATGTAGAGAGCATGAAGGGCGCCGAGCGCAGCCACCAGAGTGTTGTTCTTATAGTCCTTATGTGGAGGGCAGACCAGCAGGGGGCGCTGCATGCCTGCTTTCAAGGCCCTGAAAAGGACACAGATGAGCAAGACAGCAAAGAAACCTGGAGGTAAACCACAAACATGAGACACTGGGGTGGGGGGTGGGGGGTGTGGTGGTGGTGGTGGGGGGGGGGGTCAGCTTCCATGAACTGACCTTTTGATGCCGTTGACTGCTGCATCGTTGAAACGCCTGATGTCATCGTAGTCGCGGTTTACTGGGCCGGTGGAGGCAAACACAAGGCGGTTACCAGGAAGACCAGGGACCTTCAGGACCACCACCTCCTCCCCGAGACCGCTGTCCACCTACAGGGAGAGCAGAAAGGGAAAAGTGACACCAGGAAACATTATCACTAAAGAACACATAACACCATCTAGAGAGAATAAAAACGTCACCCTCCATCTTTGTGTACAGTGTTAGCAGGAAGGCTGATGCCGTCAGATCCTTCAGTGACCTGGTGCCCAATCCTTTTGATAACAATCCCTTTAAATGAAGCAGTGTCTGCTTTAGACCTGTTGTCATTGGTGGTACAGCATACGGCCAACCCAGGCCTGAAGAGGTGAAATTATTCACTAATTCCCCCCGCATATAAACAGGAATGTCTGAGAAAGGAAATTATATTATATTAATGCAGCATAAATTATATTTCCTGCTTTCTGACCCTGTTAACTGTCTCAAGTGTTGACGGAGTCACATCTGATTGATCCCCATATTGCATAAATATAAAAGCACTTTGACTTAATTTAAGCTCCTATTGCACACACACTGCTTTTTTGACTGAAAATAGCTCTTTTTGTGCGACTTGTAATAACTTGACAATGTAGATGTTTTACGCATCATGTAACCCTAACCGAACCATTTATGATGAATCACTACAGTCCGACAACATTTCCTGCAAATGTACAAATTTTAACTAAGAAAAGGCACGATTATTTTGGCCAATATTGAGATCACAATTATTTAACAGGATTACTTATTGACTTGCACACATTTATTGAACTTTCAAAATGAAATGATTTTTAAAATTACATATGCATTACCCTGTGAAATAAGAAATAGGAATCCAACATCACTAACTTCAAAACGTATCTTAGAGGCAATAGGATGACAACATAATGCTAAAATTCAACTGTAGTGTTCTGTAGGGAGATGCAGTGACTTGGGTGTAAGAAAAATATAATAAAATAAATAATTTAAGCTAAAGGTCCACTAGCTGATACATATTTATGCAGTGTAAAGTGCTGTAGGCTTAAGCTAATAATGTTGACCAACAGGTTATAGCAGGTCTACACCCTGGCTCAAGCTGAATACACATGCCACACCCTTTCGCAGAGGCCAAAGGGTGGGAGAAAGGAAAGGAGTGTGCTGGATTTCTAACAGAAAAACAACACGAGGGCATCAGTGTGACAGAAATACGACATGATTGTTTATAAATTTATCTCGTTTTCATAATCGTTGGAAGCCAAAATCAAAAATAAAAGTCCTGCTAAAATGTATTGTTTTTTACAGTCCCACCCATTAGGCTACTTGCAGTAATCTGTATGGTGTGAAAGAGACAAAGAAAGATCAGGTGAGAAAACCAGATGTTTTTATGGTTTGTGAAAGACTGGCTGCAGGTGGTAGATGAACAGAGGCTTACAGAGCTGTAGTCCTGCAGTGGAGCTTTCAGACTCTCGAGCTCCGAGGGCAGTGTGTCGTGGCTCTGGGTCACCAACACGACGCCATCAAAACTAAGAAGAAAAGACATCACTATCATCTAACGCAGCTTCAGTCTGTTAAGGTGCACAAAATAACTCCCCAACACCCAGCTAGAGACAAAGCATTTCTTCCCAATACTCACTTCTGGTTCTTGAGGTCAGTGGTCCATTCAACAGGCTGGACGCTGGGCAGAGAAACACACACAGATAATGGAGTTATTTCCAGCTTTGTCTGACACGGATAAGATATATCAGAGTGATGCAATTAAGACTCCTGTGTCAGGTTTTATAATAGAGGTTAATGATAACAGTGTGGGTCAAAGTGTGGAAGCCTGCAAGACCTTTGAGATCTGCTTTAATGTCAGCTGTTAAAAACATGAGACAGGTTCATTTCATGTCTCACTGCAGTGAAATCAAAACTTTGTACCAAGTGTGCACTTTATAGGAAGCAATCGCCACAGTTTCCATCTAATGATGAGGCTATATTACTGTTAACTTCAGATTATGTTACCAGTTTTACACTTGTCAGAGATTTCTGGCATCATATGACACTTCCATAGAGTATAGAGAAGTGTAACTTAGCCTGAAAGTAAAACTTAAGCAAAAATGATGACGGGATCTTTAAGTGGAACCTGAACCCAGAAAATATCAAACCTCTCTTGAAACATGAGAGGGTCAGATTTATGAGCTGTGAATGAATAACCAAACTATCACAGATACATTAGGTTACTAAATTAAACCAACTGGGAGAAACATTATATCGCTGGGGAGGGGGAAAAGTGTCACATTCCACAAAACATTTGCTCAGCTGATTGTTTCGTGAACAAAGAGCACGCGGGGGACAGCTGCACGTTAGAAAACCGTTGAATCAAAACGCAAACCAGGCAGGTTAATCCGTTAATCTCACCTGGTGCACATGTTGGTCGTCGTCGTCGTCCTCCTCCAGTGTCTTCAGGATGAAAGAGTCAGCTGATAGCCGGTGACTACGGTTCCTTCCCTTCAGTGCGCTGGTTGGCCACGTGATCACCATGAACTTGCACTCGTGCTGCCTTCGCGGGCTTCTCGTAGCTCGTAATTACGACCATCCGAGTCGTAAAATGCTGCTTATCTTTAGTAGCGTTTAGTGGTATTATAATGTCAGTTGGTAATTATGTCAACTGATATGAACTAGTTACCGTTTGGTTCCAGTTTAAGCTGTTAAAGTTTAGGAGTGTTTTTTTTTAAAAAGAGACAGGGCAAATTACATTTGTCCGCGAAAGTTGCTAAATTCCCACTGTACCTAAAGACACATTCACGGATACAGTAGGGATTTGTAGTTTCCAGGACTGATTCAATAAACGCGAAAAGCAGCATTAAGATGATTATGACCAATGTAGCAATTATAGCTTGGTATGATAACATAAGCATGGCTACACTCAGTCGTTAGCTTCGTTTGAGCATTTTATCTCGCTTTTGACAAGGCTGACCTCATGGACTACAAACTCTTACCGGAAGTAGTTATAGGTAGTGTTGTCTGTGCAGAGCAGTGGAGGTTCGTATTGACTAAAACTAGTACAAAGGGCGACAAATACGTAGTAGCTGTCCTGGTTATTCGGTAGCAGGTTACGGTGTCACGTTTCTCCTTAAAATGGCATTTTATCTAAGATAAAAGCTAAACTTCAAAGCTACAGATCGAGCTGCAGGTAGGCAGATGCTACGCTGCTGCAGCTGTCTTGCTTTTCTTATCGTGGTTATGATTTACACCTCAATTATGAAGTGTTAGGAGGCAATGATCATTGTACCTTGTGTGAGACATAACGTGTACTTTCCTCCTTTCGACATTTTGTTCTCACTGAAGTATTTAAGAGTTTAAGACTTTTGCTTTGGACAGTAACAGTCAGATAACTTGATAGATTTCATAGGGAAGCTTGGGAAATTTGAGAAAATTTAACAAACAAGCAGTTTTTTTTTCAATAGAAGAAAATACCAGAATTACACTTTTCTTTGCATTATAAGCAAATTTTCACCAGCCTCTCGCAAAAGAAAGGCCAGTTTGGTACAAAGACATGATGAGGTTTTGTCATTTCACAGCAGGACAAGGTCTGAAACTATGTCCATAAATTGATTAGTCGACATAACGGTTATCTTTTTTTGATGATTGATTACTGATTTATCAAAGAAAAATGCCAAAACTTCTCAGGGCTCCAGCATCTTAAATGTGAGGATTTGCTGCTTTGCACTTTTTCATTTACTATCTTGGGGTTTGGGACTTTTGTTGGACAAAACTTGTGGTCTGAAGCTGTCCCCTTGACCTTTAGGAAACTTTAATGGGTACCATTTTATCACATCTAGTAGACAAATTATTAACTGTAAAAACTATTAATAAATGTGGGTTTTGATTTGTGTAGCTGCTGCAATCTACACTGAAAAAAATTATAAATGCAGTACTTGTTTTTGCCCCCATTCATCATGAGCTGAACTCAAAGATTTAACGTACAATGTACACAAAATGTACACAAAAGGCCTATTTCTCAGAGAGTCTTATATTTAGAAAGAAATACTTGTCTTGTTAGATTTCCCTTTTCTCTTGTCTGTCACCAGTCATCTTGTTTTCCTTCCTCTTCTCACATTTCACTTCTTTTGTCCTCCACAGATGAGACTCCCTTTTCGCTCCTTTCGCATATTCAGGAGTTTACTCTCTCAAAGGCCAACCACAAACCTGCAGAGGCGGCGAGGCCTGAGCAGTGCAGCGATGCGCCTGGTGCAGTTTCATTGCCATGGAGGTGGCATCAGAGTGGGAGTGGAGCAAGGCGAGGGGCTCGGCGTGGTGGATTTGAAGGCGTATGACCCCACCATGCCCTCAACAATGAGAGAGCTGCTGGAGCTGGGAGACAAGGGTCTGGAGTGTGCACAGAGGTATCAAACACATCCAGTTATATTTTTAGTACATATCTTCGTCCTGTTTAGATTCTACAGTAGTTCCTCCTTCTTTATCCTCATCGGTCATCTTCCCCAATTTAGCATGTCTTCCTCTTTTTCCTCAACTTGATCTCCTGAATAAATCATCTTCAAGGTTTCCATAATCCTCTTAAATCATCATCTTTTCCCAAAATAAATGTAATCTAAAATCAACAACCTTCTTGTGTAATCTTTCATCTTCCTAAATGATCGTCTTCTTGATCATCTTGAATCATGACCACCTTTTTACATCAACCTTTTTGCTTGTTAAATCACCTTCATAATCCTTTTCGTCACTCAACTAAATCATCTTGTTCCTTTTTCCTTTCTTAATGATCATCTTCCTGAATGGACTTTTAGATGAGCACCCATTCTCCCATCATCCTCTTTGTTTATATCTTCCTCAACATCATCTTCTTCTCTTCAGTCAACTTCATCGCTAACTCCTCTTCCTCCTCCTCAGAGCCTTGTCGTCCAGTCAGTGTGTGGTGGAGCGATCGGACATCCAGCTGCTGTCACCGTGTTGGCACCGGAGAAGGTGGTGTGTGTGGGTTTGAACTACAGGGACCACTGCCTGGAGCAGAACGCCCCGATCCCCAAAGAACCGATCATCTTCAGCAAATTCCCCAGCGCCATCACCGGGCCATATGATGACATACATCTGCCTTCAGAGAGCCAGGTGAGAGCGAGCACGCACTCTAACTTTGTGTCACTTCTCAAAAAAAGAGGGGGACAAAGTGCTTTACAGGAAGAAAAAAAAAATGTAAAAGTTATAGAATCAAGAAAAAGCTTAAAACTAATGGGTTTTCAGATGCTGTTTAAAGATGTGCACTGATGTGGGAGGTTGTTTCAGGGTCAAGAAGCAACAAAAGCAAAAGTACAATCACCTATAGCTTTCAACCTTGACCTCAGAGCAGCCAGAAGTCCCTGCTCTGAAGATCTGAGGCTCCTTCCAGTGGTCTGAGGCCACAACAGCTCATTTAGGTAAAACAGTGCTCGTCAGTCTTCACTTTGATTAATAAAATAATGAACTTGATGATCCTAAATTGTTTTCACTTGAACATATAGGTTTATTACAACCCAAATCTGTCGACAGAGACGATATTGGTACAGCATGCACACAGGTGTGCCAAAAAAAGGGAGCCTGCAAACTCTGAAACGTTCATCTCATCTGTAGCTCTGGACGTGTTGGCACCTCCTAACAAAGTATGGCTAATCTGAAGGGCACTGAGGCATCTTAGGTCAAAATGTCAAGCACAATAGTAGACTTTCATCTACCCAGAAAATTTCCTCCCCATGGATGAAGTAGGTAGGTGGCTAAATCTGGTTGCAGGTGAGTTATGGTGCAGAACAGTATCTGGGAAATGCAAACAATCTGTGTCACAGTTAAGTTGTAGAAAATGTTGAGACTTGAGCATAGATTTTAGTTAAATTCTTCATCTCCAGGAGATGAGGGTTATTTTAACTGTCTCTCAAGCACTTGATATTATTATTTTTTTATCTTGAAAGAAAAGTCAAGATGAATTTATTCATGAATACAGAGTGAACATACTTGTTTTTATAGTGTCATGTTTTTGCAGTGAATGGACACACAATCCACATCCTTTACAGTTAATACAAAGAGGAAATGATATGTGGTGCTCGAATGCCAATTAAATGGCACCATCAAATTAAATAAATTCAATACTTTTTAGTTGTTTTCTAAGAACTTTGTGGAGTTGTCTCACCAACATTTAAAAATATATTTACATTTTTTGAAAGTGTGAGCAGCATCTTCATTTCCTTGTGGGACAGTGTGCATCAACTGAACACTCAGATCTAAATTTTAAAAATGCATACTGGCTGATTTAAGTGTACTTAAATAAATAGTAAAACCTGCTAAGATTTAGTGTCATTTTTGATGCTGTATTTGCTTCATCTTGGTCTTTTGTCTGACTGAAGGAGGTGGACTGGGAGGTGGAGCTGGCCTTTGTGATTGGACGAAGAGGAAAACACATCAAGGTGAGCACCACAATATCACCTATGATGGCCATGACGCTTTGATGAAGCATCTATTCTGACTCCATTTCCACTCCTCTTGTTCAGGAGGAAGATGCTCTCTCCTACGTGGCTGGGTTCACTGTGGCCAATGACATCACCGCACGTGACTGGCAGATGCGCAACGGGAAGCAGTGGCTGCTGGGAAAAACGTTTGACAGCTTCTGTCCTCTCGGCCCTGCATTAGTAACCACCGATGCTGTGGCAGGTGAGAGGGAACGAGAAGCCACAGCAGGGAGAGCAAAACAGAAAGCAGAATTAAAGATGCACGTCAGGAACAAGCTGTAGTTCTGTTAACAGTGTGGTTCCATTGGCTGAGTGGAGCTTTATGATAAATAAATGTCAGTCAAAATAGATTTCTGTGGTTAAACATTCCTGATGATCATGTTTACGGCACGACCTCCAGAATACAGTAAATTGATCTGCAGTCTCTGCTTGATGAGGTTCACAATGACTCAAAAAAATAAAATGATTTTGTTTTTGAAAATGTTTTACTTAGACCTGTGAACAGATCTAACTGTCTAACTAGAGCTATGTTAGTCATAAGCTGCCATGTTCAAAGAAGATATTTAAGTGACTTCATGTTTGACAGGAACTCAAGCTAACAAATCTCATTACATATTTGTTCTACAGAACATGGCTTGATAAGACAAATAAGTTAATCGATACTATAGGATTAATCCTAGCACTGTTAGATTAGGAAAGATTATTTAGCAGTATTAATATCAAGGAGTTATATCACTCTCTCTAGGTTTATTAATATAATAATGGCTACTTTTAATTTACTATTGAGTATTTTCTGCAGTGTTTACAAAATTAAATATAAGTTTTAAAATTTTTTTTCCTTTTTAATACCACAAATAACCCAATTTAATAACAGAATGACAGAAAACCAGTAGGGAATGTAAGTTTACGTCTCTGGGTATGACAGTTTTGACTGAAACTCCACAACTAAACATTTCAATGTTAAAATCAGTCTCACATATATAAATGCATAACGTCTCCCAACAGCCCACAAAAAAAACCAACACATGAAATTGAAGTATATTTATGTCTTCTTAGGCCTTTTTTTGATGGAAGTGAATCGAATGCAGAAACCCTGTATTTTCCATTAATCAACACAACTGAGTGTGCTTTAGTCTAGTTAAAGTTTAAGTCAACGGTGCTGTTTTAATTTTTTATCATCCCCCTCCAGATCCTCACAACCTGGGCATCCGCTGCCTTGTTAATGGAGACACAGTCCAGAGCAGCAACACTGATCAGATGATCTTCAAGACGGAGGTGCTGGTCGCCTGGGTCTCAAAGTAAGTCCACTATTTCTGCTCATGGTGATGCTGTCTTTGTTTCACAGAGATGTTGCGTGTTTCAAACTCACAAAAAAATTTCAGAATATGTACAGAACTTTTAAACTGTTCTGCTTCAGTGACTCAAGATGAGTGCGCAGAGCTTTCATTTTTAGAATTATGCAAACCAACTCGACTCACAAATTAATCCACAAAAGGAGCACCGTGCGAGCAAATGGCCTCCGTGTATCACATACTCGAAGCTGAAATGATTCAGCTAAAACCTATCCACCACGGCTGAAACCCTTTTGCCCCAAAGCACCTGGAGCGCTCTTGGATGGAAAAGCCTCCCTCTCCCTCCCTCCTGCTGCCAACAATGCCCGTCTTTCCAATAAGGGCACATCTCACAGAATCTGTAAATACACTGGGATCGTTTGGGGAAGTTATTGTTTTGCATTCCCTTGCCTAATCTAAATGAATACAAAAATGATATGAACATGAGAAAGAATTCCTAATTTTCCACAGTCAATAGCAAGTCATGGTAAAGTTGATGTTACAGTCTAGCACATGCTCTTCCTGCTCCTGAATCTGGGCCTCCACTCTCTGTGTGTTTCCTCCGGTCAGGTTTGTGACATTGACTCCAGGAGATGTGTTCCTGACGGGCACTCCTCCAGGCGTGGGTGTGTTCAAAAAGCCACCCGTCTTTCTCAAGGTAATAACAATCTACAAATGTTGAGGTAGTCTGCACAAGTTCTGCACAACAACTGCAGCTTTACTTTCACTTTAGCCAACTTAAAGGCTACATAATATAATATACATACAGTGCCGAGTTAAAAGGGACTGGCTAATTCATAACACAGTATTTGAATACATATCCGGGGAGTGGTTGTATTTAAAAGGAGTAAATGTGTTTTCTTTCAGAAAGGAGACGTGGTGGAGTGCCAGATTGACCAGATAGGGTCTATAATCAACAAAATGGTCTAAACCCCGAGACAACCTGCTGAAAACACCAACAATCCATGAAAGATTGTCAGCTGGTAATAAACTGCATGTCTGATCGACGACGAATTTACTAAAAGTCTCTCACATTTTCTCAGTGTGAAAATCAGCTGGAAATGTGTAAAGAATATGACTCATGATAAATGTTACTACAATAATTGAGAGGAAGGAAAACACGGTATTTTTACAACATGAAACTGTATAATTACGTGTCCCAACATGGTGTTTTTGCAGCTCGACCTCAGATATTGAGTCATCAGCAGCCACCCACTCATGTTACAGAGCAGGAACTGTGAACCTCCTGACTTTTTGTTTTTTTCATAGAAAAATTTAAACAATTTCTAAATACGTTTGATATTCTGGATGATCAATTGTATATAAACTTTTTCTACTAACATCACTTTCTCATAAAATGTAAGCAGATTTCCAGTGATAGGAATAAATAAATAAAATAAAATATGCTGTCTTCAATATTTGTCCCTTACATCACCTGGCAGTAAGTTCTTCATAATTACTGCGATCTGGGCTTTGATTCATGTACCTGCTCGCTTCATTTTCTTTTTTGCTGAAATCACCGAAGGTCATTTCTTTTTTCTGACAGACACAGCTTTAGAGAAATCCCCGGCCTAAATGGACCCATTTACATTTTGCAGCAGTGTGATGAGGTGACATGCTGTACCTGGGAATTATGTTTCACCACTGAGTCACTAAATGTGTGAAATGATTAAAAATTCAGCATTACATTAATTTGGCTGATTATTTTGTCTAAAGCAGCTTGTCGGTTCTGCCACCTTCTAGCTTCAGCCCCTTCATGAAGGTTATATTCAGTTTGTTGAAACCGTTTCAGAGGTGTTGATTATTTTGAAGGATGTGGGGTTGTGGTTCTGCTGAACTACATTGTGCGTATACTGAGAGGTGTTTATATTTAGTCTACTGTCGTTGATATAAACATAAGAAGCACTTTTCACTAACACAAAACAACTAAATCTACATTCTCCAAAATGCTCCTAAGCTTCATGAAGGAGTATTTACTGCAGGACTGATGTATTAGACTGCATTAGTTTTAAATGGGTGTGATCTTAAGCAGTGCCATAGTACTTGTATACAGTATAGACAAATATTTAATATACTGTTCTTGCATGTTTAGTATATGACAAATCAATAAACATAACGGTTTTATACTCAGGAAATTATCTATGCTTGTGCTGGATGTTCAATCTGCAACTTTAAAATGCCAATTGATGCCAATTACTGTTGAAGACCAAGCAAAACGTTTTGTATTATAAGTATTTCTGGAGCTGTTTCACCCTCATCCACAGTTAGTACTAGGTTTTTTTCCCCAGGTCTTGCCCTTCCTGTTTGTAGTGTATTGTGGGAGAATAGTGTACTTCAAAACACACTCAAAAATCATTAATATAATGACTTAATACACATACTCAATACCTGCTCAGAATTAGTGTGCGGTAATTGTGTAGTATGGATTTAAGCAAGGCATGTGTGAAAAGTATTGCGGCTTTAATAGGACACTCAGATCAACACCGGGTGGCAGTAGAGTTTCACGGTCGATGGGAGCTGGTGAAATGCAGATGTGATTTGTGGTGGAGTTCAAATGAAGAAAAAAAACCCCTGACGCACTGACTGATCAAGCAGACGGTCGTAAACTCCAAAATATTAGTGCCTGCCAGAAAAAGCTCAACGTCCTGATCAAAGCGAGGCATCGATTTGACTCTGCTTCTCGGTGTCAAGAGGTTGAACAGACAAACTCTCCAGAGGTCTGAGTCAGCACAGAAAGATCTATATTCAGGAGGACCGCAGGTCTGAATGATGACTTGTTTGGAAGATATTATATCCATAAAAATGACATTATTACACTACTGCAAAACATTTATGTTTCTGTACAAAGAACCGGTATGCCTCAAGCAAATGTGTTTATTGTCAGTAGTACTGATCAACTTGTGAAAAACAGAAAAAAAGCAGCACTAAGCTAAATGTTCGCATTACAAATAAAAACATCGGCGGCCTTCATTACAACATAAACATGGTAAACACAAGCTGCAGCGAGCGGAGTCCTTTCAACTGATTACAGGGACTTCATAATCCTCGCCTCCTGTGGCTTTATGCTAATGCTATTACAAAACATAAACTTAAAATCAATGTCTCATCACGGAAACATCAAAATACAATTAACATAAAAGGCACGAGCGTCCCGGCTCAGCATGCTTCTGGTATTTAACACCGAACACAAGCTTATTTTACACTAACAGACAACTTCTCTAAAACAAAACAAACCGCTTCAAGGCCTCGAGTCAGGCTGCTCGGTTAAACACATTAATTGAAGAGGTACTGTGAGATGAAGCGGTGCAGTTTCTGCCTGTTCTCTGATACCTGGAACAAAGTACTGACACCCAGGAAGATGCCTCCTTTTTGCCGCTCCTCTGAAAGGACCTGAAGTGAACATAAAACCAGCATCGTCAGGACACTTGCAACCACAATGTTTTTTATTTATTCAGCAACCTTCATTTGAATGTTGAGGGGGCGCTGCATTTCTTATCTTTATGGTGTGCTTTTGTGCACAAGGCCAAATAAAAAACAGTAAATAACACAGATAAAAAACAAAACTTTTCAAAACACTTAAAATATGAAAAACAAAGATGTTACATAAATAACTGAGCCACTTAGCAAGGTCTGAAATAATTGGGCAAAAGGAGAATTTCAGATCGCACTGTCCTTTTCTTTTGTTTTATAGCTGCATAAACACTAGAAACACATTTCCCGTTTGATTTGACCTGTAGATCAAAGAAATCAAGCTGTCTTGACATCAGGAAGTGGAATTACGTCCATTTCTGATAACCCTGATAAGATAGTGAATAATTGCCTCATGAGATCTTTGCAGATATATGGGTCAACGATGCTCTATTTTTAAAAGATAGCGATTCCCAACCCACAGACTGGTAGAGGAGACTGATGGCCGCTGACACCGTCTACTTTATTAAGTTGAAAGGCTGAGTGGTAAATTGTGAGAGCAGGGAATCTGTGCCAAAACAATGACATTAACAACACAAACGCTGAATCCGAGTTCTGAGCGAGCTGCAGTTTTCCCCATTTTTCTCACTAGAACAAGTGTTTCTCTTCAGTTCTTAGATTTTGAGTCAGTGCCAATCGTATACGTTGCCCTCCTACTTTTTATTATTCCTTGCTGTTGTTTGTAGAGTCAATGCAGGTGGAGATAACTGATGCTTATAGGCCTATTCCTTTCTGCAAGACACACCATTTGCTCCCTTCCTTCTTCTGTATGAGAAACAACTTCCAAAGACTTGAAAATCGCTGCAGCTTGATAATCCATCACAATAAATATGAAGCATTTATCTGGTCTCATCGAAGCTTCTGTTTAATCCTTGGTTCACTGTGCCTGAGTGGAGTGTTTTCATGTCAGGTCACCTTACAACCCACAGGAAGAAAGGGAAACGTGTCACGGAGAAATCCTCAAAAATAAGTCACATTATAAACATGACACCCATTATTATCAGCAAAATGTACTTAAAGGAACAGTTCAATATTTCGGGGAATACACTTATTCGCTTATTTGCTGAGAATTAATGAGCAGATCGATACCACTCTCGTGTCCGTGCAGTAAATATGAAGCTACAACCAGCGGGCGATTAGCTTAGCTTAGCATAAAAAAGGTTGGAAACAGCAACCCTGGCTCTGACCAAAGGTAAAAATTCACTTACTCTCTACTCATCTGCTGGATGGTTTAATCTGTAACAATAAATACTATTTTACAAGATGATCATTTATTTTGTGAGTAAATGTATCATCAGTGATAGTAGTACATATAGCTAGTCACATAAATGTGGTCAAGTAAAAAGTTTAATATCTGCTTTCGTTAGATTGTGCAGCTGAAGTATATTGTTCAGTCTCTGTAATGTGCGTCTGATTGAAAAAGACGAATTAACATGACCCAAAGCGTATTTTTTCGCTTCAAGTCTATTTTCTTCTGTTTATGCTCGTCACTACAGTGATCGTGTGTTGGGCTCTGAAGCGCTGCCAAGACACGGGTGACCTACACTTAATACTGTACATGAACGCATCCTGTTTAGAAACGCAGCACTAAAGATGCTACTCCAAGAGCGTAGAATTAGGTAGGGACGACAGGGACATGTTCCTGCAAATCTCCAGCGACTACTGAATCGTCCCCAGCAATAATTTGATTTAAAGACATTTATATAACCAGTACTGTCTGTTAAAAGTCAATGTTTTTAGTAGGCTACACAAACAGTTAACAGTCTGCCGCAAAATAGCGAGAGACTAACATAATCCAAAAGGTGGAATTGTAGTCTGACTACACTACGATGGAGTAGTAGGGCCACTGAGATTGAGAATAAAGTCATAAAGGAATAGGTTGCTTCGAGTCATATGTTCATGTTTTAGTATTTACTGGCAGTCTCTAGTCATTTAGTTGTTTAGTTCACAAGTTCCGACTGCAGTGTGGCGTCTACCCTCTTGCCAGTAGCTCTGCTGTCTCTGCATCCCCTTCACTCAGAGACACCTTTGCTCTGTTTGGGATTGTCTCAGTACTCCAGGAGGCTTCCCACTGAAGCGCTGTGAGCTACTCTTTATCAGAGGTGCTGAAGTTACCATTGGTGTGGATTTGTGGTGAGATTATCCCTGATCAGAAGTGTTTTCTGTTAGTTTCCGTTCTCCACCTCCAATGAAGAGCAAGTGCGCTTGTCTCATCCAGTACAGTCCCAAACGGGTCAGAGGTCTGAAGGTGAATCTACCATCAGCAGGGCAATAATTTAGGCTAATGCACAGCCAGTGTTGGGGGTAACGCATTACTGTGATCAGATTACTTTTGTCTGTAATGCAGTAATGTAACTTCAGTAATCACATTACAGTTACTAATAACAAAATCGTTGTGTTACTTGCGAACTGGATCTTGAACTATCTGCATGACAGGAGGTGAGAAAAATAAATCAAACGTCCCTTTTCGTGCGTAACACTTTTCCGACCCAACTTTTGACTTCAGCACCAGTTCATGAGGAAGCAGAAATTACAGAGCTGCCAAAGACGTCTTTCGGGGGTGGAGGTATTACTTCATGTTGTTTCACGAAAGGACAGCATACCCTCTAGTGTGCCTGTGGCGAAGCTCTTTAGCCCGGCGGGTTTTGCTGACTCTGATGAGGAACAGGTTGTCCGACAAACGATTTGAGAGACTCCTTCCCAGAGTGTGAACTACGGGGGAGCCAGGGGGAGCTTAGCACCCTTAACAAGACATCAGCTCCCCTAAAATCATGATTTGTGATATTTTGGTGGTTCTCTAAAATATTGACAGCATGCTTTATTGACATTGATCTCTAAATTTCTCTATCATGTGGATCATGCGGAGTGTCAGACTTCATCCAGCCAGAGGAAACGATTACAGACCATCCGCAGCGGGCCGGTCGCTCCGCGATCTCCTGGCCCTGTACGCTCCGCCGGCCGACTCCCTTTCTGGTACGGGTTGTGTCGCTAGTACGACCGACATGCTATGAATGGTTTGTGATCGTTCCCTCTGGCTGGATGAATATTACGCATTATTTATGCACTACTGCAGCTGGGGGCTCTCTGCAGCGCCACACAACTTTCTAAATTTTTCCCTCTCACAGAGAAAAGAATTAAATGTTTCCGTTAAATGTCCAAATAAAGTTTTAAGCATCATAGTACTGTATTCTATCCTTGTTCTTCCCTTGACAAATGTTGGGCTTATGTTCACAACTTTGTAGTATTTAAGAGCATAAAGAGAGATCCTGTGTATGTCCTCATTATAACAAGGATTTATGTTGATCTGAGCACATATGAGGTGTAATTTATTATTGTGTATCACAAGTTATGTTACGCAGTAACAGAAAATGGAAGAACTAAAGTAAAGTACATGTCCTTAAGTATAGCACAGGTCCCAGCTGTGTTTCATTTAGATGCGTCTGTGATCCTGTACAGCCATTAACACTAGCCATTTTCTTTTTAAAGACCAAAATGTGAAATGTAAATCACTTCAGCATGGTTAAGAGACTAAGACGAAGTGTTTCCTGTACTACACCTTTCCGATTTCTAATTTTAAATTACTTGTTTTCCTTGGCCCAGTGAGTTCTCTTTAAAGATTGGCATTTCTGCCTCAAAGATGATTGGATATGGCTGGCTTGAGTCGGGCTCAGTTTCTCTCTTGTTGCATCAAAATAATGCTGGACTCCTGCTCACGCTGAGCTTGAGGCTGAAAAGCGCCGCCAGCAATTTACCATTTATTTGAGATTTAGGGATTTAGGTTGGATTCAGGCTCACCTGGTAGCAGACCAATGTTAAAACCAAACTTTTTGGGAGTTGGACTGCACCTAAACTTTCAGTCTTGAGTTGTTCTGTAATTCTCCGCAGACAGACAGATTTAGAAACACATACACATACACAGACACACACACACACACACACACACACACAGGCTGTTACTCACCCCCAGGTCTATTAGTGTTCTAACTGCAGTGCGTGCAGCCTCCTCTGAGCAGCTCTCTGTGAGATACGGCACAAAGGCACACATGAATCAGAAGAACAGACAATATAGAAAAACCAGGTCGGGATAACAGAACAAAGCCATTTCCAGTGGGATTGTTAGAAATTTTATACTGTGTATTATTGAAGGGCGTCATTTGGGTAGTTTCTGATCTCTTGTCTTATGTGTTTTTTTAAGAAGAAGATGATGTGAGTGGGAGAGCTGTGCTGTGTTTCTTCTCCAGTCTCTGCTGGCTTGTTACAACACAAGTTGAATCAGTGGGAAAAGGCAAGGTGACAAGCTTTTGAAGTTGTGACACAAAGAAATCGAACATTTTTGGGCATTTTTGGGGAGGGGGATGTCAGGTTGAGCTCACCATAGTGCTGTTTCTTCTTGTTTGCAGTGTCACACAGATGGGAGTGTATCTGAGCCACAAATTCTGCTTCTGCAGCAGGAACGACATGAAAATTGAGACAATTATTCCACTCAAAGCAATGTGAGGACAGTCTGCTAAGATGTCATGGTTCAGTGACATGCTAACTGTATTTTTAATACTGATGGCCACTGCAAATGGCTTAGGGTGAAGCTTAAATGTCACTGTGTGCTGCCGCTCAGTGTTTTTCCACCGGTGTTTTTGAGGGCGTGTCCGAGTAGCCACTTGGCAAGCGTTATATGCGAGGTGCATTTAGCTTTCATCCCTGTGACGTCACAGGGATGAAAGGGAAATGGCTGGACTACAAACGAGCTGTTTTCAAACAGTTCAGAGCAGACTTTTCTGTGGGAGATGGGAACTCCCTTTGGGCTGGACTTTGGGCTTTTTCACTTCGCAAACCTATTACAAGCACAAAAAAGGTATAAAACTCAATAAAGGAGAGCGGAAAAGCCAAAAAGCATAATACCACCTCTTTAAGTCTCTTCAAGTTGCCACAAAAACAAGTTTCTACCAATTACATGTGGTCAATACTGCCCCTAAAACATAAAACATGCATACCTGGCAGAGGTGTGTGTAGAAGGTCCAGTCCAGCGGTCGCCCAGCACAGCGACCTTAGATGACCAGCTAGCATACTGCAGAGGAAGAAGAGCATCTCTGGACACTGATTTGGCTGGCTTATCTAGAAAAGTACACACAGACCGAAGCAGGAGTGGTCAGAAATGGTAAAATGAGGATTGGAGGAAGGATGAAAGAGCGTTTTCCCCTACAATGAACACATAGTGGAGTGTTTCTCCACTGGGGCGTTCAGAGTGTGACTGGGGGCGCTGGAAGCAATATCTTGGAAACGGGGGCGTTGAGTTACTTTTGGGGGGTGTTTGGTAGAAAATTTTGAGGTGAGTTTACCCCAAAGATTCACAAAAATAGGAGTTTAAACTTTCAACTACTTGCAAAAAATTGTGGTCTGCAACATTAAAGCCATTCACTACTGCAGCTTGGGGCTCTCTGCAGCACCACGCAACTTTCTACATTTTTCCCCCTCACAGAGAAAAGAAAGGTCAGGTCGCAAACACAGCCGCAGCTGTTGTGTGAAGCGTAACTGTAGCAAAATGGCTACATATGACATTAATAATAATAATTATTATTATCAATATTATTAATGATGCTATTAATGATTCAGCAGTAAGAAGTCTGTTCCCCCTGCCGGTCCCTGCTAAAACAAATGAGTTATTAAAATCCAGTCAATAACTGAATTAAAATGATTTATTACTGAGGTGAAAATGTGCCTCAAACAACTTTATAGAGGTTAAATCCCCAAACAAAAGACACAAAAGAGGAGGGAAGACTAAATCATGTGTGTTAACTCAGCAGTGATGATATTAAGTTGATCTACAAGAGTAACATATTTGCGTTTCCCTTTATGTAAAAACATTTCAACAATAAATTGGTGCAGAAACTTTCACCAGAATGCAGGAAATTAAGTCTTTAATGCTCAAAATCTTCTGGGGGTGGACACCAAGACCCCCCACTTATTAAGATCCCCATTCATAAAACAGCCTCTGGCTTCACACAGAGTTTCTGGGAGTAACATTACTGGCTTTTTTTGTTCCCTGGGAAAGTAATTAAGTTTGTCATTCAATGATGTGTTTTCTAAATGTTTTTTAATAACAATACTAACAACAGCAAACAATAACCTAATAATAATAATAATCATCAACAATTTTTAGGGCAAATAGCCAACATCTTTTCGATGGGGGGCAGTAAGGGACCTGGATTGGGGGGCGCTGGCCCTAAAAAAGGTTCAGAACCACTGACATGACGAGACCTCACTGTCAGTTGGTCTGTCTGCCTCAGAAAGTAATACATCTGAAGGATGAAGAGGCACAACACTATAAAAGTAACATACCTTTATGTGGGTGTCCCAGGTTTAAATCCCAGCGCTGGTTAAGTTTTGTATTTGGCTTCATGCAGTAAAATCCTGATGTTTTTATGTTTATCTAAACTAAAACCTTTAAGTTAAAGACAACCAATATACTAATAATATATGGCAGTCACCGAGTCACTGTGTGCACTAGTGTTGGCAAAGGGGGTTTGTCTTCTCTTGAGTGGTGTGTGAAGACACTGGTGATATACTGTTGGCAGAAGAGATGGACCAAACAACTGAAACAACCAAGGAAAGACTAGACTCACCCTGTGTCTTCAGAAGACTTTCAGAGCATTTTCCTTTTTTATTCCCTTCTCTGTCCTTTGTTATCCCACAGAAGATACAATAGTACAACCAGAAACGTTTAAGAAGGACGTAAACTCTAATTTGAATCCTAGTTTTCTATGCAGTTGTTTGAATGGTCTTCTCTCTCTCTTAAACAGTTTTTCTTAGATAGATTTTAGATTTATTTTATGGGTATTTTTTTTCCTGTCCTGTAATAAGTGTTGGTTGATTAGGATGGGATTTTATGGATGAATAAATTGAACCTTGCACCATAAACCAGTTGTCATCAGAAAGCAGTCCTACAATATGAGTCCTGAAATCTATGTACACTACATGGCAAAAAGTATGTAGACACCAAAACCCATTACCCGTTATTATACCCATTATGTGATTGTTGAGCATTTCATTCCAAACACTGGGCATTAATCTGCTGCTTTGAAAGGCTCCACTTCTCTAGAAAGATTTTGGCTGAAGGGATTTCGCCCAATTCAGTCCCCCGAGAGCATTAGTGAGGTCGGGCACTGTTGTTGGGTAATAAGATTGGCTTAGATTCAGGTTTCTAATTCATACCAAAGGCGTTGGATGGGGTTGAAGTCAGGGCTCTAGGCCGGCCAGTGAAGTTCTTCCACACCAAAATCACTTTAATCATGGCTTTGTGCACGTGTGCGCTGTGTTGAAACAGGACAGCGCCTTCCCCAAACTGCTGCCCAAAGTTGAAAGCACACTGCAAGCTAAAGGTTTATTACATGCTGTAAAATTAAGATTTCCCTCACTGGAAGTACACACAAGTATGTGGACAGGGGTGCCCATGTACCTTTGGTCATATAGTGTACATTGAACAACTGGACAATTATTTCATAAAAAAAACATTCATCTGTTTGAGGGATTCAGAAGCTGGAAATCTACATCTGCTCTGCATTCATGTATTCAAACATTTAGCAAAAAGTTAATGGTTACATCTGGTAAATGAGGGAGGCCATAAAACTGGGGGTTCATTAAAGCACTTTATAAATAGTTTAACAGTGAGTATGGGGCCATTATAATCATGATATCAATCAATAATATGGAAATATACGGGAGCAGAGTCTGTAATGTCGAGTGCAGCTGGTCTTGTAAAATGAAAAACTGAGCTATACAAAACCATTGTAAAATGTTAAGTCTGGAATCTCACACCAGCACAGCATATTGAACAGCTTGCAGCAGATACAGTATTATGGGTTTCTTCTCCTTTCTGCACATTTGAACTCATCCCAGTGTAGGAAACTTATCAGATCATTTTGTTTTTGTCGTTGCCCAAGGGGGCCCTTGTTTTCTGCTCCTTACAAACTGTTTCACAAAACACATAAAGACTTGACAACAAAGCGATGTTTCATTCAACGTGACATTTTGAATGGAGCTCCTCCAATTTTTCAACAAACAGTCGCCATTTAGTCAATGGGGCTAATTCAATCTGCATTTAAACAATCATTATGTGAATGTGCAGCACTTAGAAGCTTCAATACACAGTAGAACTTCAAAATCAACATGACTGAGAGAAAAGAGAGAGAGAGCAGTCAGAACAAATTAGTTGAGTTGTATGAGGAGTAAAAAACACATTAAAACATAAAAGGGTAAATCAACAGCTACGAACAAGCTCCAGAGAGGCTGCTTGGCAAAAATTAAATCCTAATAGACTGAATGAGTGGATGTGGATGAGATGTATTTGCAGAATAAGATCAGCAAGTGGTTCCGAGCGTGGTTGTAAAGTAAATATATAAACACTAATGGGATGATGGATCTGTATCAGTGTGTATGTTGGAGGATAAGTAACAAGAAATGACTTATGATGGAATATATTGTTCCTGAGCTTGCATTGCTGAAAAAAAATGCAAATGCCTTTGGAAAAACAAAAAGGACTACATGTAGTCTCTACCTCTGTTTGGTATGGAGGTGTTTGTTGTCCCCAGCAGAGCAGAGGCGTCAAGAGTGGATGGAGAAAGTGAAAAGATTAGAGTTGAAAAGCTGTATAAAACACCGGCGAGGCTCTTTCTCAGTGGACAAAGCTGAAGTCAGAGAGAGGATTTTATACCAGTGTGGAGGTGGCATTGGTTTCACTGGACTAGTAGGTGAACTAGCTTGCGGCACAGGCAGGAAGAACTTATTTGGATGTCTTCTGTATAGTTTACTGTAGCTACTTACAGGGATCTTTCCAGTTTCTGATACAAGCAGGGTGTCAAATAATGGCTGTATCCCAAGTAAGCAAGTAAGAAGATCCTACTGAGTACATAAAAACACAATATTGCCCATCGGTTCAATTCAAATAGAACTGAATGAGATTGTGTGCTTATCGTACAGCCTATTGTAGGACATTTACATAGTATACACTGGGTGATGGGTGTTTGTCCGTATCATGTGATCTTCTAATTGTAGGTGAAGCCGTCAGTTTCGTCTGTATATGTAACCTGCTTTTTGTTCATACAGATGTTTGCCTGACAACAAATTTGAAGGCCGAAGTGTTCCATTAATGTTTTTTTGAGCCCTTGCCATATTTAGTGTGTGGACCACTGCTCTTTTTCGTTCAGTCAGGACACTCGTGTCAAGGTTTTGGAATATGTGACTCTAACATGACTCCCGCGCGTGTCTCAACTACCACAGGCTCCACACAGATTGTAAACAAAAGAGGTTTCAATACATTCGTGACATTGAAAATGTTTTCTGACGCCAGAACTGCACTCAGCATGTCTGTTAAACCTCATGGACACGCAATGTTTTGGTAAGAAACACTGGGTGTCAACATTACGGTTTGTTTAAAACTCCTCCGTGTACCTTTGAATGAAAATGTGAGTTTTTTTTATGGCATTTTTACAAAAAAATTATTGATTGATGACCATCCATGTCACTGTGCTTTGATCGTTTCTATTTTATGATGCAGTTTTAAGTTTTACATGTACTGTCATGATTCAGGCCTCAAAGTCACTTCGCAGTGTTGGTGATTGATGCACTCTGAACACTGGCTGTTCACTCCCTTTGGAAGTTTGTGAGCTGCCTTGTGTTGCTTTGAAATCACATGTAACAGTCGGGACAGTTGGGCTTCTTTTAAAGGTGACACATACTGCTAATTGGCATTCAAGTTACGTGAATCACTTGTGTAGGTGCTTCTGTAATGGAGATTTGGTTACTTCAAGGTTCTTTTCATGTAGTGTTTCTGTTTTTTTTGGTATGCGCCCTGTAGACAGTCACCCAGGGTGCCATCATTAGTAGGTCATGCCAGCATGGAATAATTTCCCCTTAACGTAACCCCTGGTACTTCTCTAAGGCATGTGAAGAAGCCAGAGGGGCCCAGCAGTGCTCTTCTGTACCTTGTAGGAACGCAGTTCCTGCTCCTCACAGTCAGAGTCACTGTGATAAGGCTCGTCAGACGTGGTCCAGGTCAGAGTGCACTCCCTCTTCCAGAAATCACAGATGGGAACGTCCCTGGGAATCTACACAGGATGTAGAGTAGAACAGACTTTAAACACCAAATTATGATATTTAGAAAAAAAGGATCTGCACACTTTTTACCTCTCTGTAACTTTAGGTCGATAACTGTTCTGTCTGATGTTTGGTGCAGAGCAGGTAGTGTGCAGTTGTTATTTAGACCCTTTTCACCTTGTCACATCGTTTTCACATTGTTATTTTATCCATTATATTAAAAATATCAATAAGCCGCTTTAAATATATATAAATATTCGGATACAAGTAGTTGATGATAAAGCCAAGCTCTTTGGTCACTAAACTTTATAAAGGGAAAATGTTTGACAAAAGGGAATACCAGATCTTATGACACCTGTGCTTTGTTATGCAAATGACTCATGGAAAATTTAGTTCACACTTGAAGTTATCAATAAAACTCCACAAATGCAATGTATTAAAACACCTGAGGACAAAATGAAATAATTTATTAAGGAAACAAGTTAACCATTCACTGTTTCATGCTTCTCAAAATGTGAGAATATGCCTCTTCTCTCTGTTTCAATTGAATATCTGGGTTTTATACAGTAGATCAAAGAAACTATTTGAAGAAGTCATCGTGGGTTCTGGGAATGTTTTTATTCTAAATGATTAATCTAATAATTAATAAAAAATAATCTACAGTAAATAAAATAATGGAGTGGAAGTGAAACTAAATTCAAACAAATAAGAATGTATTGTATCAAGCGTTTTAAAATTTTCGAAAAATGAAATTAACTTGAGGCAATGTTTTTCAAAACAGTGTGGAATTAGATTATGTAGCATTTTAGAGGGTGAAAAAAAAAGTAGAAATGTATCTTACTTCTTCCATAATCAGGATGCCACAGCGTACGAGACTGTCAACTGCATCCAGAGCAAAACTCTGGGACGGCTGACAGGGCTGGGGGGGAGAGAGGGTAGAGAGAGAAAAAAAGAGAGAGAGCGAGAGAGAGAGGATGAGTGAGCTCAATGGTGAGGCAAGGTTAGAGGCACAAACAGCTTCAGCCCATCACATATCTAAGAGGACAGCTGACAGAGAGCATAAGGTGTGTAGCAGAGATCAGAGGATCAGAATAAAAGATGGCCGACAGGAGAATGAGAACAGCAGCCATATTTTTCAGTGAGGAATAGGGTGGGAAACATAGCTGCAAGCAGAAGAGACAAGAAAGAGCAGCTGCCTAAATGAAAGGTGGGCAAACAGAGAAAGGAATAGTATTTCTGGCTCACATTCGGAGCCCTAAAAGTCAGTCTGATGGAGCACGCACGCACACACACACACACACGCACACACACAATTTGAAACCTCTCTGCCAGAGATAGAGGCAGCAGAGCAGGATGAATGGCTGTTCAGCTCCATTAAACATCCATTGAATGAGACACACTTGTGTGTGTGTGTGTGTGTGTGTGTGTGTGTGATATGAATTCAAACTCACTGGCATGAAGCCCGGAGGCAGGAGATGGCAGAGCTGCAGGGCTCTCTCAGTCAGCTCGGACTGGCAGAGCGCCACATCAAACTCCATGTCACCTTTGACCTCCTCTCCGTCCACGCCGTCACTCCTCACCCTGCTGCTGACGCCACTGCGGGCCACCTCGCACAGCATGGCTGACACCGCACACGCTAAGAACAAAAACATACATAAACATCTGATCATTTGCTCTGGTTCTTCATGCACATACACACGGGTGAGAAAGCTGGTGTTATCCAAAGTAAGCAGGTTTCAGTCTGAATCGTGTTGGACACTGGACACGGACTTCGGCTAATGGATCAGTTGATGAGATTTTCCTAATAAGTAGGATCTCGGCCATTTACACAAGTGTTATCTCTTTATTTATACTTTTTATCCCCATTATCCTGCTTTCATGTGCTGGTGGGAAAGTCTTGACACCCGGATTGTTTATGTGCCTTTGTCCCAGTCTGTCACAAAATCAAACCTGGAAGACAAATACTGAAACCAATCATAATGCTTAGGAGATTTCAGTTTCCTTAAGTGTCCTTAAATTAGTCTTCATCATATGATCCGTAGATTTGCTACTACTCAATAAAATATAGCTAGATTTGTTTCTATTTTTACCACTTGAAGGTTAGCAGCCATGTATTAAGGCTTTCAGCAGAACACAGCCCACCAGCTTCACATCCTATACAACCAAAACACATCATGCAGGAATAATGAATGATGCAGGCGAAGTAGCTTCCTGTACTTCAAAACACATTATTCTGACCTCCAACAGCAATGCTAAAATGGGGCTGCAGTATTGATGCAGATCAAGATGTCTTTTACAGATGAGACCCGAGGACATGTTACACATTCACTATGTTGCCAGTTTATTATACCTAGATACACCTAGATAACAAATAATGCAGTCTAAAAAGTCACTGCAATAAATCCTACTTCCAAGGTTATAATGTTCAGATTTTGTTGAAAATGAACATTATAAGCTTCATGAATAGCACTGTGGTAAATAGTGCCAAAATGTGTAGGAGTTACACGAGCATGCAGGATAGCTCTATAATAATGCTCATCTTCATATAGTATACCGGATTATTTGTTGTTTTCTATTATTAAAAGGAAAAACAAGCTCTCATCAGCTATAAAATACAATTAGACTTTTTTGTTTTTGATAGAGCAGTCCTTAATATTTATCATGCAGTACTGTATCAATCAGAATTCAACTGACAACATGGATTACAGAAGGAACAGTCAAAGGTTTATGATCATTTAGAACAAGCTCCAAATTAATAAAAGGGGCAGTCAAAACCTGGAGAAGACATGGTTTGGGGTAAATCTGAGTTTTCTAGTTGAATGGTCTTATATGCATGGATAACTCACTTGTTACAGGGACAGTACTTGATTTATTATCTCTACACATCAAACAGAATTGAAAACCAGAAGACAATAACATGCAAGAACCGAACAGTTGAAACCAGCTGAAGAACTGCACTGCCAACGACGACCTTTGCTCACATCACGTGTTTGTCTTTTTATGTTTAGAGGAGACATAATATCTGTCAGCATTGTACAGTACCCCGACTCTGCTCAGAATATTAAGTACATAAACTCTGAAAATGTCCATACTGACATGCCAACAGTTGGAGCCACAGCCAAGGCCTCCCACGAAAAATAAAGTGCCTGTAGAACACAAGGTCTAAAGATGACATTTAAGCTTAAATGTTAGAGGAACATTTTTGTCAGCGACACGAGTCACTCACCACCGACAGCTTCCAAAATAAAGGTGTGTCTGACAATCTGGGCCTGGAGGGTGAGGTGAAGTGTGGCACCAAGAGAAGGATGCGGCACAATCAGTGGGTCTTTCCTAGAAGGACCAAAAGGAGGAAAGAGCAGTAATAGAGACAGAGGTTTCACGGAAAGGGAAATTGGATTTTTGATAAGCGACACAGTTTTTCAGTATAGAGCTTATCAATGTTCTTTGTTTCTCTTCAGAAAACCAACCTAGACGGCGCTGCAGCTATGATGAGGTGAGGGGCAAGCAGATAGAGGGAATAGTGTACAATCTCCACTAAATTTCCCCCAAAACCGACGTCTTTGTTCCTGAACAACAGTTCCTCCGTGAGCCAGACGACATCACGACACAGGACAGACGCACGCACACCCTGTGGAGGAGACGGATGAAGTTTTGTTACAAAATCAGAAGAGAGCACTAACCATCTGGTGACATTAGTTGAAGACTGGTGGGTATGACTCAGAAAATCACTGTCACACTCTAATACACTAGCAAGAAAACCAATTCTGTTTATGGGCGTCTCGGAGTACCGATGGATCCGTAGAGGTTCCGGGGGCGGATTTAAACACAGATGGCACCAAAGGGGAAATTGCTTTGCAAACACAGGGATGATGCACGTACCTTGCGGTGTCTGTACAGCAAAAGACTGGACACCAGACTGGTGGACATCACAGCCATACAGGAGGTTGTAGCTAGAAATAGGACACACACACACACACACACACACACACACAAACACAAATGCATAATAATACAAGAGCTTATAAAAAAGTTTTTTATGAGCAGGGTACATAATCCTGGACCTACAGAAGATGAGGTGGAGGATGATGGCGATGCTGAGGTCTCTCTCTGGAGGAGTTGGCTTGTTGAGTTCAGATGCATGATGAGAATGAGGCAGGAGCCACGACATGCTTCTCCGCCCATACACACAGCCAGCTCTGGAGGGAAAACGTGAGGAAAGAAGGATGTAAAAATGTTATTTTAGATCATCTCTGTTGATTTATAAATCATTGTAAATGAAAAGCAGGTGAACGATGACTAAGATTTTCATGACATGATATAAAATCCGACCCTCCGACCCCGGCGACCCTCAAGGATAAGCAGGTATAACTAATGGATGGATCAGAACCTGCCACTGTCCTAATGGATTGCCTTCACATGCACAAGGGATTCACAGGAAACGATGCATGCATGTAGCCCATCGCATTTTATCTTTTAAAGCGTGAACTGCGAAACACGGGGTGGCTATTATTGTAAAGAAGCCACAGGAAACGCAATGTATTTGCCACTAACGATCGTTCATAAAAATGCGTCTACAAAACAAAACATTGGCACTTTCAGCATTTATTTGACAGCATATAAGTTTTAAATATTGCTGGGAGTAATGGAACAAGAGGGAGCAGACACAGTGAGCTGTTAGATGAACAGTTGAAGGCAAAGTAACCAACTTTACTCTGTCTGCTGTTGTGTGGAGGGCCACTCGTGCCTTGCTCAGCATGAAATTAGATCGCGGTTACTCACGGCATAATGGAAAAGGCCAATTACTGACTTTTTAATTAAAACTTGTTTGACTGCACTGTAAACAGACACACCAGTTGCTCTTCTGCTGAATTTCTGAAAAAGTACTTCTTCACCAGGACTGAAACCTTAGGGATTAAAACTTCAAAGAGGGATAAGGCAGTTTAAAGAAAACTGTTGGCCTTATGTCATCATGTGTTGCAGTAAAGTGCATAAATTGTCAAGGCAGTTGTGTAACAAATCATGTGAATTTAGTTTAGTTTTTATGAAAGTATTATTTGCTCCAGATGGAAAAAATGTATTTCATTATATTACATGACATGTTTCAGTAATGACCAATTCACTCTTATTACAAAATTAGCTGCATTTTCAATAAATTCTTAATGGCCATTATGAGAGTTCAGTGGATGAGTTAACACCATGTTTCTGAGAATAAAAGGAACACGTGAGTGGATATAATAACACTAAGGTACATACATTAAGTGCATACAAGCGCATAAAAATAGCACCTACATCACTCAAAAATGTACGCGTGTGCGATACATTTAATGAGCGGCTTATCTGAGGCTACGCTGGAGTAAAATGAGTGTTATTTATGCTTCTTACCTGTGCATGTTTCGATATGTAAAGTACAGAACCTGTCACATCTATGTTAATACACAAGTCCTACCGACAGTGAGAATCTCAAAGAAGAATAAATAAAGCGTGTGTACCTCTGTAAAATAAGTGTACGTGAGGAATTTCCATTTCCATTATGTCAGCCTTCACATAGGCTGCATTTTTTATACATGGGAACAAAAATGCTTCAAAAGCTGAAACAACCGGGGACAAACAGAATGAGGAAGCATGACAGAGACACAGTGGTAGCGGAGCATGTTAATGATGTAGACATGCAGAAAGAACTAAAACTGCTCACATGCTGATAACAATCCAATCCAACTATCCCACTCTCCTCTTTTCATTATCACATCATCTAATTCACTCACTTTTGTTCCCCCCTGCATCCCACTCTCTCAGAAGAATTAAACATATGAAAGGAGAAGCCACTTTGCTCCTCAGAAGCCAAGCAGAGATTGAGTGAGGATGTTATTTTCTTTCTGTTATCTATTTCACTGGCAGACTGTGTAATGCTGACGGTAATTGGACCGAGTCTAAGAGGATGAAAACCCTCATCAGAGCTTGCATCGTGTATCTGTGCCAGATTCAAGGTTTAGAGGAAAGTTTATCTTCAAAGTTTAAGAGGAAGTAACTTTTTAATTTCACAGATGTTAGATAAAACACAATCCAGATCCCACTGTGGTTTGCAGTATACAAACTCACTCGTGCATACAGGCATGCGCACAGGTGGTTTGATTACCTGTTGTTGAGGATAACAGGCAGCAACAGGTCCTGTAGAGGGAGCCATTCATCTACTCGGCACCTCCCCGACTCGCATATCTCCTACACACACAAACACACAAAAATATGGATGCACACATGCACTTTCGAAGAATAGCGTCTCTAAATCATTCTTCTTTATTCATTCTTTATTCATCATACACCACGTAAAGAAATTTAGACAAAGTTTGCATTAAAACATTAAAATACAAATATTATTACTGCAGCCCATTCCTCTATTATCGCAATATACTAGGTTGCCAGTTTATTAGGTACACCTAGGTAAAACTAATGTAGTCCTGCAATTACTCTAACAACGTTCAGTTTTTATATAAACTGTTTTGGAGAGGTGTTGATCTAAAAATAGATAATTTTGGAGGCTTCAGTTTATAGACTGAACTATATTGATTTATTCTGAGAGGTATTTTTGATCCTGTTCCTGGACGACTGGGAGCCACTGCTGGCTCTGTTCAAACCAACATTGGCTGAACAAATAATGTCAAAGCCGAGCTCCCAAACCATGCAAACTATCCTGCCTCTGTCAACAGGATAATCGGTCACTCAAATACGTACAGACTTCATCATTACAGTCAGAATTCTTATGCCAGTAAAAATTCAGGTCAAGGAAAACAACACTCTGGTTTGTTGGGAAATTGGGCTCAAACTGAACATACTGCTGCCAAGCAAATGACAAATACTGACCCTGTACCATCTGTTGCTCCGAGTTATTTATACGTCCCAATATCACAAGTTTTGAATGAGGATACATTTTTTAAAATAAGATTCCAAAACGCATTTGTAGAAGCTAATTTAGTCAGTCCACTACCATGGTAAGTGCAATTTACGATGCAAGTTTGATTCTTTGCCTGTCCAGCTGTGACCCCATAATGGACCCTAAGATAAATATGAGGGGTCACAAGATAATGGTTAAAGGAAGGACAGGAAATAATCAGGGTTAAGAAAAATCTGTTAAAAAACATGTTTTTTTTTATTATTAATACTTTTACTTCTTAAGATCACTTAAAATCATTGAAATGAAACAACAGGGGAAGGAAACTTTCTGGTTGCACTGCTCACAACACACGCCCACACTTAGTCTATAACCTGTGATGAGGTGTCACATGGAGACAGGTGTATGATAACACGCTCATTTCTTCTGTGCACCTTGAGAGAAAAAGGCTGAGCGAAGTGGATCTGCACACTTCCTTCTGGTCTCCTCCAGAGAACAGACCACAGCCACTGCAACACAGAGCTTAAGCCAACCTGTGAGACACACACGTACACATTCATAACAGTGCAACATACAGTGAGTTAGCAATTATATCATAATGAGGCATTGCCTTTAGGAGGGACATAACAGCAGCAATACCCCTAATAAGCAGGAGCTATGATCAGCAATAAGATAAATAGCTAGTCTGAGTGTCTATGAGAAGTAGGACTGTGTGTTCGGTACTGTAGGTGCAATGTGTGTGAATGACAGAACAAAATGATGAGGCAAGGACCTTATTATGGAAATTTACACCCATTCTCTAGTATCGTCTCAAAGTGCAGATAGCAGAGGGCAAGACTAATGGAGATATAGCAATCACTGGCAATTTTCCCTTTAAAGAAGAAGTTTGAGTGTGCCCCCCCCCCGATATTCTGTGTTAGTTATGTCAAAATAGTCTTTGTCTTACCATGCTGAAATATGCGCATCATGTTTGTGTGTTCAGATTTGTTATGACTCTGAGGAGACAATCTGGCATTAAGGGTTTAAAAGTTCCTTAAGTTCATCCATGCACTCTGTGTCACAGCCTCTGCTGCAGCTCCAACCGTTGAACATGTTCGTAGGCAGGCCAAACTACAACTAACTGCCTTCTTGTTTAGAACACCGGCATGCACCTTTCCCTTTCACCTCGTGAAGTACTATTGTCTCTTCCTCCGCACCCGCCTGTGGAGGCACACCTCACAGTTTGAGATCCTGTGCTCTGAACCAAACCTGTTCACTTGCTCCTGTGGACATTAAAGATGGCAAGTGAGTGTTTACACACATCCACCTGTTTGTTTGTCTTGGGCAAACAGTCGTATGAGATGCCCACAGGGACCAGACTGACATCGGGGACAGATCCCTCTTTGATGAGCTGTCTGATGCGAGCCAGCCATTGGCCACCTCGTCCAGACTCCGCTGACACACCAACACTTATCGCCTGGCCCTCATGTAGCAGCTCACGTACCAGCTGAGGAGGGAGGAAAGAGAAATGGGAGAGAGAAAATTGATAGAGATAACGATCTAAAATCACTGCAGTCGGGGAGACATTAACACAAAATGCCTGCCATGCATTTTTAAAATATACATAAGCAATATAGCAAACCAGACCTGGGAGGGAATGCAAAGAGGAAAACAGAGTGGAGGGCAGTGAAGGGAGGAGAAGTCACAATGCAGGAAGCAGGGAGGGATAAAAAGCAGAAATAAAAAGCAACTGTGGGGGGATACTTCATGACATTCAGAGACACTACCCTTGCCCCAAGTACTATTTTGCCCTTACAGACAAGGAAAATTCAATTACCATTGAACAGCAGCTAAGCAGGCCTACACTCAATAAACAATAAAGGTCTATTAACGTTGAAATACAACCAATAAACAAGCCTGATTTCTCACGCACAGCCAATATGCTCACACTCATATAAATGGTCAATGAAAAAAAAAAAAAAAAACTACTCACTGCGTCACTCATAAACAACCTGTTTATGTTCCACTGTGGCTGTAGTGTTGTAGATTAATGTCAGACTGAGCTGTTTTATTGAGCTGTATGGCACAATATTGATCTTAATGAAGCCAGTAACTCCTCCAAATGAAAAACGTCTTCAAGCTAACTGATACAAAACACGAAAGTGATACAACTGATACAAAACACAAAACTCCCTTGCTAGATACAAAGACAGGAAGATATTAATGATGAACAGGTGTTGATCAATAAAATCTAAATTACGTAAATAGGGACATGGCATTAGACAAAGAGTACAAAGAAGGTACTACAAGAAAGTGCGATAGATGCAAGAGAGGACAGAAAGTGAGTGAGAGAGGGGAGGTAGCCATGAATGAAGACCACATAAATCTCCAAAATAAGGTTGGGGAAAAAAAGGGAAACAACCCGTTTAGACCTGCCAAGCTCACACAAACTAAATGCATAAACTAACCACCATTCTTTTCGTCTCTCCGCCCTCTCCTCATTGCTTTGTCACTCCAGCCAACACCAAAGCTGCAATCTCTGTAGCAAAACTCATGCCACTTAGTAATTTTGAGATTGAATAGAGAGTGGGATGAGGCAGGGGAATGAGGAAGAGGGGGAGAAAAGACAGGTTGTATTCTGATTGAGGGGCCGACTGTGATAAAACTCCACCATGGAGTGCAATGAATAGCGCATGTATGCGAGTGAGTATGAACTGAATGAATGCACATACACTAAACAGCCATATTACAGGTATCCTTTACTTACACTGCAATTTTATATAATTACCTGCTGTCTATGAAGGTTTTTTTTTTATTTTTTCCAGCAAAACTGCATTAGCAACATGTTTTCTGATTTGAGGCCCATTGCTTTGTTCCCATCTACTTGTAAACAGACTATTTTTGGGTTCACCTAAAAAGCTAATGAGGAACTGCTCCAACTGTCAGGCTGGAAGGGTTTGTACCGAGAGGGTGTTTTCATGGTTGGTGACTCTGACTCTGTGACTGAGAAAAGGGTACATGAAACCTGAATTAGCTTTTGGCTGTTGAAGGGTACATTTGCATATGTGAAAAATAGTTGTTGAAAGCCTTCCATGGCTCAAAAGGAAGCTTTGCTAAAACTGCAGAAGTTACTGTACTTAAGTGATGTTATTTAAGTACATTTTAATTGGGGGTGCAGAACACAAATTTGAAACAAGAAGTCTGTCTTTGTTTGGTTGATGGTGCGAAGAAGTTGGCATCACTAACCACAAGCTCCAATCAAGGCTCATTACCTTCAACTGACAGTGATGCCTAAAAATTAATTCTACATATTTTTGGTGTTGATGTGTCAGTAGGTCCATCGGTCCACCACTTTAGTCCAAACTGAAATATCTAAACTAAACTATTGGATAGGTTGCCTTGACATTTGGTGCAGATGTCTGCTTGGTATGAATCGTACAGCACTAACTTCAGTAATCCTCTGGTGCCACCATGAGGTTCACATTTGTGGATGGGTTGCCATGACATTTGGTACCGACATTTATGGTCCCCAGAGGTTGTATTGAAATAACTTTAAACCCCATGCCTTTTCATTTAGCACCACCATCAGGTGAAATTTTAATTTGTCAAAAACTTTAGTTGATGACCAAATACCTATAAAACTCGAACAATGTAAGCCACAGCCTGTTCACCCTTCTGGGAAAAGATACAGAAGTTTCAGCTGCTGAACCACCAGACTGCAGAGCAAATTGATCAGTGAATATTGTTTATTTCTGTTTACAATTTTTATAATTACTTCTGTATTAATGTATATTGTCTGCTATGTAGCAGAAGGGAGTTACAAACTCAATTTCATTATATAATATACATATATATTATATTGTGACAATAAATGTACCTACCTACCCATCAGTATTTTAGCATTGCTGTTGTGAGCAAGTTAGCATTCTAAGGTTAGCATTTAGCTCACAGCACTGCTGTGCCTAACTACAGTGTCTCAGAGCCACTAGCATAGCTGCAGATTCTTAGATTTGTTAAAACACTGATGGCTAATGGTCCGGACCACAGTGAAGAGCAACATTTTGTTTTTGGGTGTTCATAATCGCCTCAGAAGTTAATTCCTACATCAAATCTCATGGAGCTACACTACCTTAACCTTAAACCCAAACCATCAAAACAGGTCAGACTTACAGTGGTCGCGACAGGTGAGTACATACTGTCCATCTCAGCATCCTGCTCAGTCTGTGCAGAAGGTGGCAGGAGGATCACACCTAATTTCTGCAGGATTGATCTACAGGAAAAATAGAGCATACTGTAGCTCAGTTCCCTCTGGTTCATCTGGTCGGCTCAACGCACAGGGATGGGACGTCCCCATACCCATTGCAGGAGCCAAAATAATAATAAATAAAAAAAACAGTAGCTCAGACATAAGTAGTTTCATTTAAGAAGCTTGGAGTGATGATGCATCTTCACACTGTGTTTAAAATTAAATTGACTGGCCTAAATATGATACTGCGAATAAAAGTGATAAATTCAGCATCTCTTCGGACAAAAAAAGGCATCTGCATTATTTGTGGGGGAAGATACTGTATACAAGAATATATATTGTATACTTGTTATCTCGGTGCAACATGCCTGGCAGCTTCTATGTGGATTCATGTGTGCATGACTGTACCTTAGGAAGGAGCTGTTAATCTGGAGGGGACAAATAGTGTATGGGACTCTCAGGTTGCGACAGAATAGCACCAGAGGGATGAGAGCATAGTCCATGATGTTCTGATGCACATGCACATACACCAGCAGAGATCCCTGAATTACAGAAGAGGCTTTAGATAAATAAGAGTCTTCACATCGTCCTTCATTATGGCAAACTATAGTGGACTGTGCAGAGGTGGCGCACGGAGGAGAGGGTTTCTGTGGGCTTATATTCAATCAATATTATAATGAAGCCCTTACAAGCGTCAGTATCAGCAGAATGGCGAAAATACATTTATAATTTAAAACCTACGAAAGATGCAGGCAGAGACTAAGCATGAATGTGGTTTAAGTCACTATGTAGTGAAGAGGGTGACGGCACACAATTTCTCCAAGGTCAAAAACAGCTCTATTATTCTGTAAGTTTATTTTCATTCCAGACATAGAAATGAAGAGCTGCTGTTGCAAAGTCAGTTATATATCATGTGAATTAAAAGCAGAGAGATGATTGTACTTTTGTGGATATGATAGTGTCACTACAGTAAAACAGGTAATGTAATAAAAGTAAATATGGCAATATTAAAACACGTTAGTAGAGTAGAGTATTGCTGGCTTCTTTTAATGCCATGATGAAAACATTATTACTTTTTTCATGTTTTATTTATCTGGCAAACCTGTTCAAAATATCTCAAAAAGGTCAAAAGTTACAATGACGTCATGAATTAGCTTTTATCAATTATTTTATCTGTAAATAAGTAGACTGTAAAAGGACAGTTGAAGCACACACACAAACATTTGGAAAACAAAACAAGTTTTAAATTATTCTTTCGAAAATGTTTGTGAAGTAAATGTCAGAGTAAAATTGAAAGTCATAGACTGTATATAAAATGGACAACATGACACACTATCCCAAAAGAGAAGCCAAAACATCTTGATTGGTCATGAACCCGCCCCCTCATTGTTAGTGGATTGGACATTGGCCAATCAAAATACAAATACATGTAAATTTTTTTTTCATTTTAGTTAGTTCTCATCATGCGGATGTACGTTAAAGTGTTCTGATAAATTTGTTTTTAGTTATTTGATTCTATAAATAGGGGGGTTTCATGTTATGATTGACAACTGAGCCCTGCTATCAGTTGAAGACTGCCGGGTGTAAGGGCGGGACCTCGATACCACAACTCCGACCTGATCACCACTGTGCAGACTGGCTCCAAATGATGTCACCAGCGCAAGATGACAGTGCCCGTATCTGGAATATTTAGGCTTCATTTCTGTACGGTGGGATGAAGGGAGCCATGTCGTCCATCTTTGTACAAAGTTTATAGTGAAAATATAGACAATGGGATTATACATTTGATGGTAAATTGATACACACTGAATAAATCAAGAACTAACCCCAGTTTGTACACGGCCCACGTATTTCTAAGTAAAGTAAAAGTCAGTCAGAAGAGATGATACTTTTCACACTGTGTAAGAAACCCTGAATATGCACTGACAACCATTTAAAACCATAAGCATCACTACAAACATTGATTTGCCTTGATGTAATTGACACATTTTTAGTGAGACCTGGAACCTCTGCAACAGCAGCCTTACTCACACTTATTTTCAGAAATGTTTAAATGTATTTAGTCAACCATGTAAGTGGAGTTCTGTAAAAATAAATAAAATAAATAAAAAGTATAACAAAGCAAGTAAGAGAAACTTTATAGGTTATAGATACTTTTTTGTTGTTTTTTTTACAGAGAAAAGTAATTATACATTTAGATGTTTTTACTTTACTTGTGTACCAACAGGGTAAAAGGGCTGTGGCTGTTTATTATTTCATTAGATGGCACAACCTAGTTTAACAACCTAGTGTGGAAGTGTGTGGAAATACCTGTCTTCAAACACAACGTGTGCTTTCCACGTTGTGCAGGAAGAGTCGGCACCCTTCAGGGTAGCAGTTATAGGCACATTTAATTATGCATGAAAAAAAAGATATATGCATGTGCATTTTTGTTTTTTTAGATGCTCGTACCTCTTGTGAGGCTCTGTGCAAAGCCGACAGATGGTTGAGGTTAACTTCTATGACGCCAAATACAGAAGCAAACGTCTTCAGCATCATCCAGCCCACAAACCTAGTCAGGAGAGGATAGTGGGTGGAGAAATATATAGAAAGAAGGAAGAAGCTTAAACTTAATTACTGAAGATAAGGAGGAGAGGGAGACAATGTACATGAGGGAATAATGCGCAGATAGTGGTGAAGCTAAGAAGAAGTAGCCGCCAATAACATTATGTCAAGTAAAAGGGAGCTTCAGCAAAGAAAGTGGAAATGGAGTTAAGTGTGACAACATGTAAATGAGATAGATGGGTGTTGAGACAAAGTTGGGGGAGAAGAGGGATAACGATAAGAAAGAAACTGATGACATAGGGAAAAATCTGAATGGGAAGCGATAAAGAGGGCTGTGTGTGAGGGTGACAGCTGTAGATAGAGACGAAGGCAGGCGCTGTAAACGAGAGAGAGTGAGAGAGAAAGAGAGGAGAAGAAAGATAGTACAGGGCAGATTTTGAAGAGATTCTTAGACTAAAAGAAAGTCAAAAAAGTTTCCTTAAAGAAAAAAAGGAAAAAGAAGTTTCCACTCCATTTCACAAGACATTTGCAGAAATCTAATACTGTTTGTGGCAACAGGAACAGGCTCTTAAGACCTGACAGACTCATAACACCCAATTTCGATTTAAAATATAACACGCATCTTTTTGCCGGGATCGATTACAGACTGTTCTGGCATAGAGCAGCCAAAAGGAAGAAGTTATTTTGGGAATCCAAGGTCCAAGATCTAAATGTCCTGTTCCTTTTCTGCCCAGACAATGTTAGGTGACTGGTAGCTGGAACACTTCCAAGGCTTGAGTAGGCAAACTTTCACCAGATTAATCATCAGTAAAAATAAAAAACAACAGCGTGAGAAAACAACTCATTCTTTTGACAAGCCTGTGTGCATAGAAATAGGAGCTTTTTGAAGGAAAATCTAATAACCGAGCCTCAAATTCTGCTCAAAGCTATCGACGAGAAGAAGCTAAAGATTGATTTATAGAAAACTGATGACACATTCATCAAGATAAATCAGGTTATTTTCATATTCTCTGTCCATTTTGGATGAATTTGGAAACTACGGTGCTCTGCTTTGTTTATAATGCATTACAAATCATTTGTGAATATGTTACAGCTGTGATTCCTTCTTCATTTGACTGGCTTATTCTCCACAGCAACGGCAGCTGAAGCTCTTGGGTATTGCAGTACCTTTATGGATAAGGCTGGCAGTATTCTATACTTTTGTTATTGTCAACAAATCCCATGAGAAGTTTATGTCTCTCAAAACCTCTACAGCCTGTTTGTTGCTCTCAGCCCCAGAGATCGACACACAACAGATCATTTGTTTTATGCCCCAAGTGTCATTTACATTTTCAAATTCTTCTTAAAAAAAAAAAAGAAGCCTGGTATCAAGTGTGATGTAACTGCCATTTGTTTAAAAACAAAAACAATAAGAAGAGTCAGTAGATGACACAAGGGTACTTTACATAAACAGCTTGACTTTCCTCACCTGCAAAAATCCAGTAGCCCCCCTTAAAGGAAGGCGGCCTTGTGGGTACCCTGAACCCTAATGTGTGATGTGGTAGGTTTGTTGTGGGAAGTGACTCTCTCCCAGTGCCAGCAGGTTGCAACAAAGAGGTCACAAAGAAGTGCGTGGTATAACGAGTAAAAGTTATTTTAGATGTAGCTATAATATGGCTAGATGAGCATTATAGTTACTGAAACGCTGTATGTTGTGTTCGTTAATACCGCGTCCCCCTGCATTCTTCACAGCAGAGTTGAATGAAACGCAACTGTGCTGTAATGTAATATTCCAACACTGAACTAGCTAAGTAACACTAGTGAGGGTCTGTCAAAGAACTGTGATGCATCTCAGTTCTATGGAGTTGAAAAGTGCAGCTGCAGGCTGTGTCATCTTTGAAGTGAATAGACAAGTAGGCAGGGGTGGAGAGAAAAACAATGGGAAAATGGCCGATACTGCTTTTGATTTCGAAGGTCAAAATTTTTCAGCACACATTGCTCAAACAGTGCGTTTGTTGGGTACAATTTCCAGCAGATTTTTTGCTCTCGTGAGCATTTATGGCAGCAGGAAAGTGTATGTGCAATTGACTCAAACTAAATACCGTGCCTGTGCTCATCGTAATGAAAAAAACATGTCACCCAGTCCAACAATGTGGCTCACTGATGGGTTTTAATAGCTCTGGACAACCATGGAGGTCCATGCCACAGAGGAATAAGCTGTACCAGGCTTGGGATACAGATATAATACTTGTTATTAGATCCAACTAACTGTTGGTCTTGGTCTTTTTTTGGCAATTGTTGACAATAACATAAATATAGAATATCACCAGCCTTATCCATTAAGTAGTACAAACATGATCATCTCTTAAAAATGAAATTGCAATAATTTAAAATGCTGGCTACAAAAAAAGCATTAATATCATTATAATATCTAGTTTTTCTATTTTAAGAAATATTGAGGAATAATAATTAAAATAAAACTTTAAATTAGTGGCTCATTGCACATCACAACTCTATCTTTGCTTCAATCACACTGATCATGTAGAATATATCAAATTTATTTCTTGTTACTTCGAAGTGAAAGGTTTGCATAGTGCAGCTTTAAAATCAATAAACAAAAGTATTTTATGAATAAATAATAAACAACAATCTCTGAACTTTGTCATTTGCCCATTTGCCCATCAGCCCGCCCCCCCACCCACAAACCCACCCCCCACACCCCCACACACACACACACAGACCGTAGGAGGCCTGGGGAGATGCAGGTGTTAATGAGGGGGAGGAACGGTGAGAGGCGGTTGATCTGCCCTCGGCTGTCTCCCTCCTCAGGTGCTTCCTGCTCTGCTGTGAGCGCCTCCTTCACCCTGAAACACATGGTCACAGGACAGCAGACTTAACACAGCACAGAGCCTCTTTTGTGCAACACATAGGCAAACGCCTGCCTTCCAGTCAGACGACAACAACAACATCCCTGAGTAAAGAGGTTATATAAAGGTTAAACTCAATTACACCGAAGGAGAGAAAACAATACAAACCGAAGCCTCTATGACAGAGATACGGGAAGTGTGACGACAATCCCAAGTTATCCCATTTCTCTTCATTTACTCTGCACAGACCCCATGATAGCCTTCGTTTTCTGTATCTTTGTGTTTCTTATCTCCTCTCCTCCTTTCGCTTTCCCTCTCTCCAGAACTCCAGGCCCTGTTTCATTCTCTGTATCTCTGCCTATCATTTATTTACTCTCCTCTGGCATCTCTACTCCTCTCTCTCATCCCCCTCAGGTACCTGTTGCTCTGACAGACTCTCTCCAGTCTGTTGCTAACAGGACTCGCGTAAACCTTGCATCCACTCACAAACAGCACGCAGCACACCCTGCGCACCAGCCAGCCTCGATACCTACGATAGAAAACACACAATGCAGAGGCAGAAAATGTGCATGGGTGAGTGTGTTAGGACTGACAAAAATGTTTTTGTTTGCCTGAATAATGTTGATATTACCAATACCTAGTGTGTGTCTCCTTGACACTCAGCAGGTTGTGGAAGCCAAGGAAAGACTTTTGTCCAAGCGACTTGCGCTAAGCCATGACAGAAAAACACACACAGACAGATGAAGGGGGTGTCAACATCAACCCAGAATGAGCTCTGTTGGGAACAATCCAATTCAAGCAATTTAAGCGTCCACACTTGATGCCATCTGAGTGGGGACATTCACTAAACAAGCTTAGCATGTCATGTAAGTATCTTTTCAGTCAGTGAAATTGTTTGATTCATTGTAATTTGGAAGGAAATTCCCAGCACTAGATTATAGATATTACATTTGTGAGATGGTAATAACATACAGCCTTTGATTAGTCTAATTGTGAACACTTCCTTTCCTTTCTCTCTCTCCAACCTCATCACTGCACACTTACCAGACTGTCTGGGGTGCACTGGTGGCAGCACTGGCCAACAATTGGTCTGAACTTGCCAAGACAGGGAGGTAAAATCTTCGGCACTTTCTTGATCTTTAATTCCCAGGACAACTGAGAGGGAAGGAAGCATAATTACACAAAAAAGGTGTCACATACACAGGGATTACACAACTACATCCATTTATTGAGCTTACACTGCAGTTTTATCAGGTACAGCTAGCTAAAACTAATGCAGTCTAATACAACAGTCCTGCAATAAATCCTCCCTTCATGAAGGTTATAATGTTCAGATTTTGTTGAAACTGTTTTAGGGACGTGTTGATTCAACTGTGGGGTCATTTTGGAGGCTGCAGTTTGTGGTGCTCTTGAATTGTATTGCGTTATACTAAAGGTGCTTCTATTATTTTGTCAAATTGTCTAATTATATCAGTGGGGGCAGGACTGCTGTGTTAGACTGCATTAGTTTTAGCTACGGTGTACCTCATAAACTGGCATGTGCAGTGGGCCCCTCAATATTCACAACATGTGCAAAAAAATCCCAAAACTAAGTGTGAACTGTGATGGCAGCTAATGTTTTTTGAGTTTACTTACTTGTTATCTGGTTTGCAAACTAATACAGAATGCCTCAAAGCCTTACATCATTATATTCCATTTATTTATTTTTTAATACAACAAATATCAGTTTTAATAAAATTTCATATTTCTGTCAGCGAGCTACGTTTGATTTCACCAGCTTTTCAGAAACATAATAGCACCGGTAAATTAAAAGAGGAAAAAAAAGAGCCAGTTTTAATCCTTCAATTTTTTTTTTGCTCTTGATTAAATTTGCGGTTTGTTATGATTTCTGTGTTGCTGTGATTGGGTTAGCTTTGAATTCATGGGAGTATGCAATAACTTGCAGTGCAGTAAATATTAATAGAGGCCCCATATGAGACCCAGTATCAGGCAATCAGTGCACATCAGGCATAAACAGCTCATGCACTGAAGCACAGGCCAGACTGTGTACTGTATACTAATCAGCTAGACTTAAGGTCTCCTGCAGCAAGTTGACAGCTGGTCAGTAGTACAAATATTTACATAACAAACAGCAACGACACCCGTTAATTATCATGCAGTGTGTGCGTGTGGGCTGTTACTGTGCCTGAAATTAAGTGTTAGTTAGGATTCAGACTAATTACCCCTTTTAGACAAAATGAGCTAATGAATCTCCTAAAATCATAGACTGTTCCTCCTGGTTGAATGATGATGATGATGATGATGATGATGGTGGTTCCTAGAAAATACAGCAGCTGACAGAATTAGTGCCTCGCCATGGAAAAGTCGATTGAAAGACAAGATTATTGTAATGCCGAAGCTCGGATGGAACTATCAGTAATTCCAATGACCATACTAATTCTGATGAATTATGTGATTTACTATGAAGGCAAAGTTTTAGTATTATGAGGCTAAATAACACACCAGCCCACATGTTAAATAAGTGTTTTCACTTTCTTGACCATAGTTAGATGAGAATGTTGATACCACTCTAACATTGGCGTGTTGAAGTATAGGTCTATCTTAAAGGAGCATACCAGTCAATCCTATCCAGTGTTTCCCATACAAGCATTTATTCGTGGCGCCCGTCACAATATCAACGCTGACCACCACATACTGACTTTTTTTACTTAAAATGGGTAAACTCGTATTTCATTGTGGAGCTGCGCGCAGTGCAGATCTTCACTCAGCCTCCCCCTCTCGCTACCTCTCTCTCACAAACACAGTAGCCGCTTTCACACAGAGATCCCACAATAAACGCAGAAAGAATATCCGGCAGTATTCTGCATTCGCTCATTCATACTACACCATCGTTTGCAGCATAATGCCACAACCATGTGTGCTTTCACAAAGCGATCCAGCTTTCTGGAACCAGCGGCAGAGAAAAAACACAGTTACATGTACACACATACCGCTATGAACTGTGGGCAATTCCCTCCGGCAAAGTCTGCAGAAATGTGGACTTACAAGAAGGGTTTAAAAAGGGCTTAAAATGTCCGCGAGAGAGCCCTCGCGCACTTGACGATTTGACAGTGGGATAGCCCTAAGCCCTCACGGACTTCCCGGGAACGCACCTCAAAGTCTGTAAGTCTGTGAGTGTGGACATTGGGATTGGGCCATAGTGTTAAAACCATGGAGTGATCTGTGAATCAAATGACAAAAATCTCATTCCAAATGTTATGAGTATGTCAAAAATAAATGCACGATTCGTACAGCTTTTTAAGTGTAAAATTCAAGCACTTTCAAGGGACCTATACAAAGATATCCAGACTCTTGAAGCTTTCATCATCACATCTAAATTGTTACTAAAAATGCAACTGTGAAAAATAATGTTTTTTTAAAGAATTCCTTTATAATCACAGCAATCAATATATTGACTTTGTTTATTTTACCAGTTGTTCATAATAACTATGATTTTCTGAGTTTTGATCATGTTTATTTAATACTTAAGTAAGGAATCAACAAGGACTTATCTAGCTCTGAATGAATGTGTCTCTTCTCCAAAGCCATTATATACTGTATATTTTCCGTTAGCCTGCCAGTTGTCATTTAAACGACAACCTGGCATGTTGCTAAAGCGATAACAAAATCAGTACCTTTAGTAGCTCATGTGCAGAAACTTTATAGGATGCATATTGTTATTAAAAAAGATAATTAAAGGGAAAGGGTTTCAAGTCATGCTGTTAATTTGTTGCAGACTTCTAATGCTCTCTGTAACTGCAAGGCTATTGCTTTGAAGTTGGTAAAATGTTCTCAACTGTTGTCTAAATAAAGAACTGCAAAAAAGACAGTGAAGGTCTGACGACAGAGCCATTCAGCTACCACAAAGCACTGTATTCATCAGCTATGGTATTTGGAAATTCAACAGGGAATACAAATAATTATCAGACATGAAAAACAAACGTATTCATGGGAAGTCATCATGCCTTGTTTGTCAAGGAATAGTTAATGCACTCAACTCCCTGTAAAACCACTACATTTTGTTTTTACATCTCTGTTTGTGTACAGATTAAACGAACAAGATATACAATGTTAATTTGTGAGGTTTAGAGATGTTGGCCTTTTGAACTCTGGACATATTTAACATATAACATCATATAACTGCAAATAAGCATATTTCCCAAAATGTCAAAGTATTCCTTTAAATAACTGATGGATCAGTATGACTCATCACGCCCTGTGATTTGGTAAACATCAAACAGAATTAAGCACATGGGGCTGTGCATGTTCGCTTGTGATTATGACGAACAAAGAGTTTGAGATTAGTGCACATGGAGTTAGTGGGAGATGGCAGCGGGAGAGAGTCATGCAGACAGTGTTCTTACAGCAGGTCTATTCTGTTGAATTGGTGGAAGGACCACGTCTTTGTTTATCCCGTTATTCTTCTCCTGCACCATGGTGAGCCCCCTGCAGACTTCTACCCAGAGACCTGCCAAAGAAAAGATTGGGGGAAAAGAGTATATTATACAGAGCCATGTTAAAACATGCATTCTCACATTGTTTTGGGTAATATGGATTGTTTGTGAGCGCATATGAATGTGAGAGGGCGGTCACTTTTAGGTGCCTTACGATACAATGCTAATTATGAGAATTTTCAGAGAGAATTTTCATGTTTTGAGAAAACGGCTTCATCTCTCCAATTTAAGAAAATAAAACACACATCCACTTGCACGCACACACACACAACCTCAGTGGGACACAAAATTCGTTTTGTCCTCTGGTCCTTGGCAGGAGTGTATTGGCAGCACTCACCGATCCATCACCCAGTGCCCATAGCTACAATTTCACCATCTAACCAGCACTACTTCCCCTGCACCATCACAAATTCTCTCAAATTCTTAACTTTCCCTTCATTCTTTTCAGTTAAGGGGAAAGTAGCTTCTTGCTGCTGGTTGCCTTGTATTGGTTTCCCATTGTTTCCTCTTATTGGACTTGAGGAAAACTTTAGTTTAAAAGTTTTGTTCTCACTTCTGTATGTGGGTAGTAATAAAACAAGGACAGAAGAGCCATTAAGAGGTTAGAGATTGAGAGGAACTCGAGGCCGTATGTACAGGTGGAGCAGGGTGGACACTCACTAGAGGGTTATAAATCATTAAAAGCAGGGCACATAGCCATCAGCTGAAAAACAGCTCTTATGTAAACGATGCTGGTCCCTCGCCCACTCGGAAACCCAGTAATGAGAGTTGGCAACATAAGTCAAGATGTAATACGATCTAGCTTAAATAGGTTATCTAATTAATAACATTGGCTGTGTCTGAGCTCAAATGAGTAATCATCTGAGATTAAGGTAGATTTAATACAGATCAAGAGCCAGCGCGCACTCTCCAAAGAGAGAGCTTCGGCAGTATAAAAGCCACCATCCTGGGAGAGTCTCCCTTTAGTTTTGCGTAAGGCTTTGTTTCTACTACAAAAGGATGAAGACGTGGCCTGCTGTCATCCAGCACAAACTCCCTTCTAATAAATGTTTCTGTGGTTACACCCATCAGATTCAGGAGTCTCATTAGGTTGAATAGGAGCATCTCTGTCTCCTACTTTGTTGATCCCACTCTGCCCCATTAACTTTGCTAATTAAAACTTAAGCCTTCCCTATAGGGAGATGCTCCATTTCAACTGGCTCAGGTTCCCACAATCATTACCAACTCCAATGGGAATGAAGGCATTGCTAAGAGATTCCCAGAGCTTGGTGATGGCGGTCACAAGGCAGCAAACACGGGGAGTATAGGGTGTAAAAATGTAAATTACACAGCCAGAGTCAGCACAGGCTCTAATGGGGTTATATAAGCCACTCCAGAGGGAATAGAAGACCACACAGAAACAACTAGAGACAGCATTGTACCGAGGCCAGACCTGTGTAACACTACAAAAAGTTTCACTTACCTGTCAACATAAAACATATGAAATCACACACTCGTACGTAGAAACATGACATGCATTCGAGTCTGAGCCACATGTTCCTCTTCACACTTAGCTTAGTTATTCCTCTCCTCAGAAGTTAAGTGATCAATTATAGTCTAATTAATACGCTGAAGTTTCCTAATACGATACCCCCAGACCTAAGTGGGCCCATGATGAGAAAGGATTAAAAATCAGAAGCCATTACAAGCTGCCAGGTCAAATTAGATTGAAGATAATTTTAGAGCTGCAGTCGAATTGATGTTGGTTGGTGCGTTCAAGTCTATTCCCAAAACCACTCAGTGATTAGTGGGGGCTTTAAATACACTTAGCGTCTGTTCGAAAAGAAGACAGACATGGGAAATTTAGAGACTCAATCAGATCAGATATCTTTACTGTCAATATATACATTTTTGGCATCTCAGCCAGTCCTCACATATGCAACATTAAGGGTCCGGGACACATCTGTATGTAGGTACAGATGTGATGTCCTGCTACAAAAAAAAAATAATAATAATAATAAGTCTGACCTTTCTCATGGAAGTCAAAATGTAAGGATGGTGGATGGTTTCTATCAGATGGAAAAAACGTGAAACCCGTGGTCAAGCACTACAATAAAAGCCACGTATTATTATGGCAATAGCTGAACTGAAAATACTGAAGAGCAGCATTGCCATTGTTAACCCGACAAGAGACCAAATGGAAAGCGTGTTTGTGCTGAATGCTGACAGAGTACACCGAATCCAATTAAACAGCCACATGAATGGCAAATCAAGGTCTACATTTCACTCAGTGTATGTATTTGATTAAGAGACAACAAGGACGTGTCATCTGCATGTTACCACGCTACAGCTTTAGAGTAAAATATGTTAAAGTACATAAGCATCACTGCATATTCATAATTTATTTGGAAGAGCGCACCTGCTGCTGAGCTCCACCGAATTCCCACAACGGAGCGGTTGCAATACCTCCTGCACTAATAACTTGTTAACCAATCCAGTTTGTTCTGTATGCAGTCCTGGCTGAAATTGACGCTGCATACAAATTAGCTGTTTTCTCATTCCTTGGAATAAGACCCACGGAACGTTTCTGGTGATTAATCAGCAAAGTCTCTCTTATATTAGTTTTTGCAATGTTGAACAAAAGTTTACAAAAAAGTGCTGCAACAAGCTAATTAGCTTTCTCAAACGTCACAGGCAACCCATGGAAAAGAGCAGTAATCCATATTTGGACAACCCATCATCCTCATCCAGAGGTAAATATTATACGTTCTTTGTAAAAAAACACCACATGGGAGCAATTAACAGTAATTAATGACTTCTCTATAAGCTGGTGACCACAGCCCAATTACTGTCCATTTAATAACAAATTGACAATTTTGAGTGTCTGTATCTTTAAACAGTATCTGATGGGAATGAGTTATGATATAAACTAGATCTCCATCTGGAGTGTTTGCAAACACTTTGAAACAGTCTGGTATAAATCAGGACAGGGACCAACAAACTGGTGGAAGGTAGACACAGTGTGTGTTTCAATAAAATGAACAACATCAATATGAGCCAAATGATCGTGGAAATGACCAGTTATCAGATTATAGGTAAAAACTTCAGTGTGTAGCCACAGACAGGAACAAAACAGGGACTGCCCAAATCATAAGTCCTGTATATCGCCACATCGACTCTGTGAGCTGCTAACCCCTTTTTCTTAGTTACATTATGTGGAGTAAAAACATCTATAGCCAAACTGTGACTACACTAACTGTGATAAATGTTTACTGTTGTCAGAGAATTTCTCCTCCCGCTGAAAAGAACATTTAAATCTGAGCATTGCTTTAGCAGTGGAGGGATAACAGCGTGTCTTTGACATGCTTATGAGCTTTCTTAAAGAAACCAATGGGGAGCGAGGATTCTGCTGAGTAGGAAAACAGATAACACCACAGGGACGTCAACTGTGATTTGTTTTTGTTTTTTTATATTGCAAGTAAACCAAGCTATATGAAAATAAAATGAATGTGGTAAACACGGCTACGCACCTGGATGTGTGTGTGCGTCTCAGGGATGGAAATTAGCACCTGCCACCCACCAAATGCGGGTGTATTTTCCGTTTGGCTGCTAAATGTTGGAAAGCTACCCGCCACATTGGATGGTAAATGTATTTGGCTTGATATCGCCATATAATATCGGTAATTAGCAGCAGACCGACGTTCTTGTTTGTTGCGTGTCGCACTTAAATTGGTCCCTGATGTACCAAGGGATCTGAAATCGTGTAACACACTGATTAGGGGGGTTTACTGGTTGGGTACGGAGCCGGAAAGGGGGGTCCGATTTTATCCGCCTCTGAGTCAGGGAAGTTGGTGACAGACGAGACATCTCTCTGTGAAAAGCCGCAGTCCACATGCCAGATGTAACAGTCTTTTTACACGCTGCTGGTTCCAATAAAGCCGGACCACTATGTGAAAGCACACATGGTGGCGGGATAATTCTGCAAACTTTTATTCAGTATGAATAAGCGAATGAGACACATATGCGGATATTCTTTCCGCGTTGATCTCCGTATGAAAACGGCTTCACACTCACTCTCCCCTCTTTCCCTCCCGACTCCTGTCTCTGTCCCCTTACTCCCACCTCCTTACAAATCTACGCCAATCAAACATAAGGAATAGGAGATGAACATAAACTACTTCATACAGTCAGTGCAGCGAGCTGTTATATTGGCGCAGTACCCCGTGAAATAAAGCTAGTGTTAAGAGCTAATTACAAAAGTTGTACTTGGAGTGTTTTTAGCTTTTAGCTCGCTTGCCTCCGGCGTAATGTGGCGACAATTAACCCAATTAACGTTACCACCAAAACGAAAAACAAAGAGGAGTTTGAAGCAGATAATAAAAAAAATAAAATAAATAAAAGTTGTCCAGTCTAGTGTTGGACACACTGTCAGATCTTCTAATAGTCCTGCTGTCCTCCAAGGAGAGATCAAGAGATCAAGGAGAATGATCCATAGGGCTGTATAACAAAATGTTGATCCCACAAAACCTGTGATGCTGTGGCAACAGGACTCAGAACCAGGAGGCCAGAAGCGGGTGATTGTAGAAAGTGAGCAGATGAGGTGGTTTAAGTTGAATGATAAAGCGTAATTAAGAGTGAGCAGTGATGAAATTTCAGTTGAATCAGTAATAAGCATCATGTAAGTTTAGAAAACACTTTACTGTTATGTCTTAAGTACATTTAATAGCAATAATATAATTTTGCTTCAAATTTCACTCCTCTTTTTTTAAGTTTGTATTCAACATAATACCTTATTATCTCAAATAAAAATACTGAAACAAATGTATATGTGGCTGGCCGGTGGATTTTTTCCATCTACCAGCCACCTTGGCAGGTGAGCCAAAAAGTTAATTGCCATCCCTGGTGTGTCTGTGTCTCATGTTCTTATATGCCAGTGGGGACTGAATGCACACTAACACAAGAGGACTTGTGTCACAGTGGCAAAGATTGCTTTTTAAGGGTTAAGACGTGGTTTCATGGTTCAGGTTACAATAAGGTTAAGGTCAAGGGTTAGGGAAGGGGTTAAGGTTAGGGTAAGGGGCCAAGGAATGCATTATGTCAATGAGATGTCCCCACAGAGATAGTGGAACAACCATGTGTGTGTGAGAACACAATCAGTCTGTGAATCAGCAGCTGTGCGTCATGGAGCCAGAGAGCATCACTGATTTCCCAGAACAAAAGGAATTCTTTACCTTTACTCTCTGTTGATTTCCTCCCTTTTGCATCACACTGTTACTTGTCCAGTGTCTGCGGTACAGTACATGCAGTAAATCTTCATATAAAAACTGTCCAGCAATCCAATTAAAAGGCTTTGAGACTGTTACAGAGCTATGACTAATATCTCATTAGATAGGACATTTCTATATTTATGGGTAAACTGTTAATGTTATTTATTTTTATTAAGAATTTAAACACATTACATGATGGTTTATAATATACTTACAGTGTAATTCTATTAATACAAGAATCCTTCTGAACGTTCTTTAGAGAACCACATAATCGTCTTTTTTAATGAAAATCAGGTCCCACACATTTATGAAATATACATTTTGGTACAGTGACAGCATGACATTGCCTGAAGCAGTCATTTAGCTGTAAAAAATAAAGCTAATGTATCCAGTAAATTTACCGTAAGAGATGACATTTCACTGGAGTTTTTTGTTACCTTTAGTAGCTTAGTCTCCAAAGCACCTTTCTGTTTACAGTTGTGCGAATATCACTTTTCTTGGACGACAGTATTTGTTCTTATTAAAATTTTATCTCTATTGTCCTCTAAACACTAATTACTTTTGTCAAACAGTGTGTCATGTAAGGCTTCTACACCGTCTATGGCTCACAGGTGTTTTCAATATTCCTGATTTGTCCTCTTCTCGGTGTGTTCACAGTGTGGCAGTGTACAGACTGTGTTTGACATCCACTCCAACTCTCTTGTTAGTTTTGTTGTCACCTGTCAGGAACATTTTTACTTTTATCACTGGCTGTGGCAATCCTGACTGTGTGGTATACCGGCAAGGGCAGGAAGACCAGCTTAAATCTTACATAACTCACCTGTTTAAATTATATTAAGGCTTAAATTTATGCATAATTAAGGGTGTCGATGCTTTGAGTGACAAGTGGGTGCCCTTTCAGGAAGCTAGCCGCAGCAACCGGGCTATATTCTGCCCATCTCAGCCCCACCCTTCTTTGAATTAGCCAGAGTCAGCTTTGGGAAGAGTCAAAATGTTTACGCTGAAAAATGAAAGTTGATCATTTTCACATTTATTGTTGAAATATCTCCGATGTGGTTGGATAAGATCTTGTTCTGCCCTTTGGGAGACCATCTAGTCACAAAAGGCCTAGACAATAAAAAGATAATGAGAATTAGAGGAGAAAGAAAGCGAATTGCTGTTTTTGATGTTCAATATTAAATCATGCACAAAACTATGTAAGAAATCATTGTGGGGGGGTAGATCAGATTGTTTTTGCCTGACAGGATCTGATGATAATTGCTGATTGCTGAGCCATTTCTGATACTGGGAGATAAAAAGTTTTTACCTCACAATTATAATTCATAAAAAAAGAAGAGTGCTAATTATATGTCAGATACCTGTCATCCCTCCCCCTTTCACGCCTCCACATTTCTCCCTCACTCCTACCCTTAAACAGGTTTTCATCTCTCCCTGACAGCCAATGATGTTTTATTAACTACTGTGGGATACAAGACACTGGAGCAGACCTGGAAAAGACAGCGGTAAGGGTGAGAGGTTAGATACCTGCTGCTATGCTTCTCCTAAAGTTAAACAACTATGGAATGTCTAATGTGGCCCACACCTTTGCACATAAAAACCCAAATGCATTAAAATGTGTGCAAATATATGAAATGTAATCTACCAACACCATGATGCAACCTGTCTTATGCAAGCGGCCTATTTTGTAATTGATTCATGAACCAAAAATATTCAGGAAGGGTTAGACGCTTTTATGCAATACTTGGGAATAAATTGTGTAAACATATGTTAATATGTCTGTGTGCATGTTGGTGCATAGTCAAAAATCAGACTTCTTCAAAGGCTGCTTTGATAATGAACAATGTAAGCTTGTTTGATCAACATTCACTGCCCCATAGCATCTTATCGTTATATTAAAGTTACACTGCCTTTAATATTTCATCTTTGACCCAGAGCAGTCCTCTTCCTGTGGCTACAAAGACATGCTGTTCACCACCTGTGCTGCAAAGCAGGCCAAGAATACACTGATTCAATTGAAAGCATGACTCAGTGGTAAGCCTGACATTCATGTGTCGGTCTTTATACCCTAAAGTAAGTAAAATTCCTCAACAGCTGAAAATAACTCACTTACAGAGGGAATTCACTGAACTATATCAAGGCAGGCACACTGACTTGACTGTGTCTCTTCTTGAAGAAACAGACTGGAGAGAACGACACTGAAGAGGTTTGGAGGACAGATTTATCATGAGTGGATGCACTCTTTAACTTCTCCCACAGAATAGAGTCATTTTCTTGCAGAGATTCCCTGAAAAAAAGATTGGTGTCTTACATTACAGGGGGATACGTAGCATTGTATGGGGTTAAAATAGTGACAAGGAGCACACTCCTTTGCGCACTTTGAAAAATTATCAGTTGTAAATAATTTGTTGTGTTGAATTTAAGGGTAGCTAAGAAAGTACTGCACTAGAGCACATTTGAAGGAGGGCAGAAGGAAGGGCAGCAATTAACCATTATCTTAATTTACAGATTAGCTTTTTAATTAATTATGGTCAATAAAATTTCAAAAACTTGTGAAAAATGCCAAATATTTCCAAAATCCAAGGTGACATCTTCAAATTGATTGTTTTGTGTGACCAACAGCAAAAAACCCAAAGATATTACATTTCCTATAATAGAAAACTAAGAAACCAGCCTAGTTTTCAATATTCACATTTCGGAATCTGGAATCAGTGAATTTCTGCCATTTTTTTATTTATTAATTTATTATTATTATCACAGAGGTGAACAGGGGAGCCTATGATGCTCTCATTATACGGCCCCATGTTGGTTCAGTTCAGTTAGTTGATTGATGATTGATGAACCAATGTTATGGAAAAGCATAGTGAATCATTACACTCAGTAAAACATATGATTTCCATTACACTAGGGCTAGACAATATGGCCAAAAAGGTTATCACGATAAAAAGTTTAATTTCTTTCGATATTGATAATTATCACAATAAGTATCAAATAGTTATTTCTTTCAAATTTAAAGGCTGATTTTTGTCCCTAAGTGAAATTTGAAGAAACCTGATGGCTAATTGTGGTTTTATTTTTATCTTTATGGTCATCACTTGAGGCCAAACAGTGGATCACTTCACAAATCTGACGTAGAACATTCAAAGCAATTGATAAAATCTTTGTCAACCAATATGCATGAGTAAAATTAAGTAAAAGCTTTTTTCAGCCCTTTTTCTTAATAAAAAAGTAAGTCCTAATTTGTGTATGATTTAAGTGAATAAAATCAAACCTTTATAGAATATTTATTGAACTTTTGTTATATTGTTATTGAAAGAAATATCACGATAATTGTTATTGTTTTATTGTCGAGCCCTACACTAGTCAAAAGTGTGTCCAGTAAAATGTTTCACTGGCAGCAGCGGGACATCTTACGGCCCTATCTTACAACCCCGATGCAAAGTGGTGCACAGCAAGTGTCACTGCTAGTTTATGACCGATGCAGTTGTCATAATTACGCCCAGCGCCCACGTTGTGCAAGTAGTAAATGTACGTTCACCCATCTGTGTGCCCATGGTCATGGTCTTAAAATGAGGTGTGGTCAGATGTGTTGTCGGCACACTGCTATCTTGAGGTGGCAAGAAGAGACTGCGCCTCTGACCAACAAAAACCTGGTATATAGTCAACGACAGAGTATATTCCTCTTATTTAAAGAGCTCATTATTCCAATAGTAAGATGTTCCTACATAGGCGGGTTCCCAACGAGCAGCAGCGCTCATCCTCCGCGGTTAAATATCAGTGCATTTATTCATATGTAGTCAAATGGATTGTTGTTGGGCAAAGTCAGAGGATCCACTAGCCATGGACCCCATGCTGGTCCCTCAACGAAGACAAGTGCAACTGTCTATGAAGATTCTCAGTCATCCAGGTCATAGTTATCCAACGAAGGTTAAAATCAAGGGCAACTGGACTTGGTTGAAGATACTGGAAGACGTTTCGTCCCTCATCCAAAGGACTTCTTCAGTTCTGGAACTGAAGAAGTCCTGGAACAGAACTGAAGAAGTCCTTTGGATGAGGGACGAAACGTCTTCCAGTATCTTCAACCAAGTCCAGTTGCCCTTGATTTTAACCTTCGTTGGATGACAAGTGCAACTGTAAACGCCACTTACGCGGCCAGGCTGTAATAGACATCTGTAATCTCTTGTCAGATGATCTGACTAATGCGAGCTGGTCCTGTGCACTCCCTGTTGCTGTCAAAGTCCCCTTGCATTTCTTTCCAAGTAGGTGATTCCAGCACTACGAGTTCTATTGGAGGTAGGTCACAATCTACTGTAGTTCAACCATACGTGCATATAGATTGTTTAAACAGGGCTGATAATCTCTGTGTGCATGAACGCACAGATCCCACACTTACACAAACACCACGATTCCCCCGGCCCAAACAACCGGACCAGGCACCACGGAGGGCAGTCCATGTTCCGAGCTGCCAGTGCAACACTCTGGCAAGATGAGAGGAGGTAGACTCTGGACTTTTATTGTGGCCAGACTAAAGGCACACCTGTGCAATTTTAAAAAAGTAATATTGTTCAATTACACTGCGTTGCTTTGTTATTATAGCTGCTCCACCACCTGCCCCACATCTCAAGCCCAATATGGAGGATCTATCTTTGTTGTTTATTAAAAGGATAATCTAAATGTGATTATAATTCTGCCATATGGTTTACAAGCTTTCTGAGAAAAAGAAAGAAGGGAATTTATTGAGGCCTCATGATCACAACTTTAATAGCAGATAAATATAATACAATCAAAGCTGAGGGTTTTGTGGTTATATGTCAGAGTGAAAGAGGGAGACATGTGAGGATCATTAGGTGGGCTCAATGAGGAGCCCACGGGTCGACAAGGGTGGATATTCTATGTGAATCCTTCCCTCCCTCTCTTTCTCTCTCTAGCTATGGGTGTATGGTTGAACGAATACAGTGGTGTCACTGTTTATCATAATAATCTTTATTTGTAGAGCACTTTTCAAAGTACTTTAACAAGTGTAAAGACAATAATACCCCAAAACAATAATACAAAGACAATACAAGATAAAAGCAAGAAAACAATGAAAAGACTAAAATACACGTTTAAGATAAATATAAAATAAGTAATATAGAATAAAATAAAAGGGATCAATAAAGTCAAATAAAATCAGAAAGGGTTAGACGCTTTTAAAAGTATGTTTTAAGAAGGGACTTAAGAGTTCACTGACTCAGCCGACCTGATTTCCTCGGGCAGGCTGTTCCAGAGCCTCGGGGCCCTGACAGCAAACACTGGTCTAAAATTATGTGGGAGGGAGGGATCTAAACCAGGTTTCTTTAAAAGTGGGTTCATGCAAGCCGTTTTAAAATAATCAGGGACACAACCAGTAGATAGGGAGCTGTAAAAAAACAGATCAAATGGGGCCCAACAGAATCCATTACTTTCAGTAAAAACTTTGTAGGTATAACATCAAGTGGGCTGGAGGACACTCTCATTTGTGATACTGTTTTTAAAAGCTCAGACAAGTTGATGGGA